GTGTTGTCTAGCATTGGTCAAGGTGAAAGAGTGTGTGTGCAGCACATGGTTTGTGCAGACCGATGACCGTGCGTTGCTTGTTGCGTTGCCAGCATTTTGGTCAGGCCAAATATCTCCAAACCAAACTTCCATCCAAAACACAGAATCCCTTTGTTCAAGTCCCTTTTAGGTTTTGGCCCCCAATGAAAAATATCGAAAACTGAAAGCTGGGCAGTGCAAATCACCAAAATCATTAGGCCCGTCCGTACCTCGCGGCAAATGCGCCGTGTGCTCCGCCTGAACCGCCGGACCAATCCGACGCGTGTCATGTCCCGTATGCCCAGCGACCCGAGGGCAACCGACCGTAAACCCTCTCGGGGGACGATTTTTGGGGAACTAGGGAACCCACCGGGACATGTTGTTGTGAAATCCACGGCTTCAAACCATCACCTGCTCTTGGTATGTCGCTCATGAAGAGAAGGGATGCAGTGAAGGAGCGCAAGCAATGCAGCAAGTAAGGGGCGAAGGGCAACACGTGCAAACCATTGGCCGCGGCAGAACATCCTCAGGCCACAGGCCAGCGCTGGTTATCCGAAACCAAATCCGCCGGAGACATCCGCCGGAGACACGTCACAAAAACTCCTCTCTGCAAGAACTCGCCAACTCCAACGGAAAAAAAAAATGTCAGCGACTCGAAAAAGGAAAAAAAATACCAACGGAGAACATCTCCCACATTTCAGCCACTCCGGACCACTAAAAAGCCCGAACATCTCTCCCAGACTTCGCATCCGCAAACTTCCCTCCACTCGCTTGCCTGCTTGGAGGCCGAAGCCCAGGCGTTGCGCACCTGGCGAAGTGGTTGGAAAACGTGGAGGGGAAACGCGGCGAGGACACGGCCAGCTGAAAATGCCCAGCAAAACGACTGAATGAAACCGGAGAAAAGCTCAAGCTGAACGATTTGACGCCAAAAAAGGCTGGATAAAACCGGGAAAGAGCCGGGAAAGAGGTAAAGCTGAACGATTTGACGCCAAACGACTGGATGAAATCGGAGAAAAACTCAAGCTGCACGATTTGATGCCAAAAAGACTGGATGAAACCGGGAAAGAGCCGGGAAAGAGGTGAAGCTGAACGATTTGACGCCAAAACGACTGGATGAAACCGGGGAAAAGCTCAAGCTGCACGATTTGACGATAAAACCGGGAAAGAGGTGAGGCTGAACGATTTTATGCCAAAACGACTGGATGAAATCGGGGAAAAGCTCAAGCCGCACGATTTGACGCCAAAACGACTGGATGAAACCGGGGAAAAGCTCAAGCTGCACGTTTTGACGCCAAAAACACTGTATGAAAACGGAGAAAAGCTCAAACTGAACGATTTGATGCCAAAACGACTGGATGAAACCGGGAAAGAGGTGAAGCTGCACGATTTGACGCCAAAACGACTGGATGAAACCGGGGAAAAGCTCAAGCTTCACGATTTGAGGCCAAAAAGACTGGATGAAACCGGGGAAAAGCCCAAGCTGCACGATTTGACGCCAAACCGACTGGATGAAATCGGGGAAAAGCTCAAGCTGCACGATTTGACGCCAAAACGACTGGATGAAACCGGGAAAGAGGTGAAGCCGAACGTTTCAAAACAGTCGTGCGTGCGCGACATGGTCATCAAGAGTTCAAGACCGGGAGACACGTGCAGTCTCAGCTTCCGCCAAAACTGCTCAAGGATGCGCGGCAAGCTGCGACATGCCAGCAGCGCCGCATTGCTCACTAGTCGGTGCCTCAGGACGTGGAATGCGGATTTCGGGAAAAGAGCATCCCAAGAGCAGATATTTCTCATACCGCAAGTAATCAGTCGCACAAACGCCCTGATTTGGTTCACTTGCAACCGACCTACAGCTTCAAGCCTCCATACTTTGCAAGTTTTGCCGTTTCAGACAAGGAAGCTGGCAGCCAACGAATTATTCATACATGGCGAACTTCTGGGGTGCTCAGTTTGCTCGGATTGGTGCGGATTAGCTTGAAACTTTGGTGTCTTCCCAGATGTCCACAGCAAGAGCACTTAAGGTCTGCTGAGGGAGTATATGAGTGTGTCTTTGTGGTTTTAAAAGCAAACCCAAAGGAAAATCACAAGTTTGAGGGGACCCTTTTTTTGTGTTCAAATGTGCGAAGCTTCGTGGGTCCTGTGTCCCGCAAGCCTTTGAGGGGTCCAACCTTAAAAAAGACGAGCCACAATGAACTTCTCATCAGGGTGTCTGCTTCATCGCGGCTCTGGTGAGTGCAGGCTGGCTGGAAGAACCGGCGAGTTGAGCGCTCGCTTTCTCGAGTTCACCACCGAAATCAACCGCCCCGCAAAAAGATTTCCTGCTGCGCAGCGGTTTCAGGATCCCAAACTTTCTTGGGATGGTGCCAGAGAAAGGCCAAAGGTTCAGTTGCAAGGACTCCCATTTGGTGGTTCCCTTTTTTGAGGGGTGGAGACCCCATGGTGGTTTTCCGTCCAGTGCCTTTAGGCAAACCACAAAAGGGGGACCCTCAAAAAGCGGCAGGACCCATTTGTGTGCTTGGCCAAGCTAAGTCGTTGGTGGGTTGTAAGCCACTCGTTCTGTCTTTTCCCCCCGAGCTCGGTGGGGTTAACCCCCGAACATCCAAGCCGGAACCCTCTTAATTCTGGACTGTCCTCAGATCCCTTGACAGCTTAACTTTTAGTGGGTTCAACACAGAAATTAAAAAAAGCTCACCAAAAAAAACATGAACCGGATGGCTGGAATTCTTGGAGGTACAGCAAACCCCTCCAAAAACAGAGACAGCCCCATTCAGGACCCTGACCCATTGAAGGTGTCCCTGCCCCAAAAATTGGAACCTTTCCATAGAATAAACATTGGGGAAAGCCGCCAAAAAGATTATATCTCCGAAGGGAACATTGATCCAACCCCCCAGTTTTTGCAACTACCAAGCTCACTCTTGCGAGGTGTCCCTAACCCAAACTCCCGGGGCTCCGGGCGCTTCGGGCCGGCGCAGCTCGTAGAGCCCAGGGCTGGGCGGGCGCTCCACGTGACCTGACCGGGCCGGCCACGGGCTGATGGCCCCGAAGGCCGAAACGGGCAAAAAAGTTACAGGCGGTGTCCAAGTTACAAGCGGTGGGTGGTGTCCAAGTGCCCTTTTCGTTCTCTTTTTGGTGTCCCTTTGATTCTCAAATGTTGCTTTTCTGGTTCCCTTTCATTCTCTTTGGGTGTCTTTTTGGTTTCCCCTCTGCAAAAAGTCCCAAAAAGGAAGGGCAACTTTACAACCCTTGGTATGGCAGGGTATGTGTTTTTTGCAGCCCCGGGCCCCTTCATTTGAATGGGAACCAGAACCCTCCCACCCCACCCAAAAAAAGAGAGGGAAAATAACAACTTGCCGACAACGGTGAAAGCAAGTTCCCAGTAGATTCACCATGTTGTTTTTCTGGGTCCTGTTCATTCCCCTTTGGTGTACCTTTGGTTTCCGTTTGCTTCCCTTGCGTTTCCCTTTGCAACAAACCCCACACAGGGCAACCCCACAAACGGACACACCCAAATGGGCTGAGCAAGTGATTGAGTGCCAAGCCAAAGAAATGGACAATTCCAGGGAACCAAAACTTGGCCCCTTACCACTTAATTGCCACAAAAGATGGGCCACCCAAGCAACAAACTGGAACAGTCTGACGTGCCCACAGCCGATCCAAAATCGAAGAGGGAGGTGTGGATGTGCGTTCCATGCCTGAATAGGTCCGTCAATCAAGTCTGAGTTGTCCTTCGGATTGGGAGAAGCTGACAAGTGGTCGAGCCCGCCCGAACATTTCACCGGTTTTCGACTCACCCTACATGACCCGTGCTGCAAAGAAAGGAAGATGAAAAAATGCAACACCAACACCGCCCGGGAATCCTGATTTCACGGAATCCCCTGAGAAGGTGACTCCTTCACTTTTCATGTGCTCAGATTATTGTTGCAAGGCCTCAGCAAAGTGCAAAGTACGAAGCTGCGAAATCCTGAAAGAAACAAGTTACCTCCATTTGCTCAAGTCCCCTGGAAATATATATATATATATTTCCAGTAGTGACAGATTCCCTTTGAAACCAAGGGGAAATTAAAATAAATGTTCTTCACCAAATGGACGGTTGCGAAGTCGCAGGGCAAAAATAAGCCCTCCGTGCGTCGATTTAGCCGTCCCCCGTCCTTCAAGTCGGTCGACGGAGCTCAGCCACAAGGGCGCGGTGCCTGGCATGAGCCCGTCGAGCGGCTTCTGCGAGCGAGATAATGGCAGACTCCAATGGCCATGGGTCAAAATCAAAAGCCCGTACCCCCATGCCAACCACTAAAAAAGGTACTAAAATGGGTGGTGAATTCACCTACCAACCAAAATGGGATTCCATTGGTTTGACCCACAGCCATGGGTTCCATGCTCCACTTGTGTTTCATCGTATGCTGCAATGACTAGCAACCCACTCTGGACATCTGGGGACGACAAAACTGGAAATGGTTGCATCCGAAAGTCTGCAATTCAGGTAGCTTTCTACAATTTGCAAGCGCCTCGAAGACCGCTGCTGTCCAGGTGACTTTGTAGTTGTTCAACTCTCGCACCAACCCGACCCACGGGGATTTTGTTTGCCACATCTGCACAGCGCCAAAAGGAGAGCGCGCATCCCAAACAGCATTTGCCATGCCTCCACTTGGGGCACCCTGCGCAGCCAAGATGGCCATCGCGGAAGCAACTTATACGCTGCGCAAGCGGTCGCTGCGCATTGCTCAAACCCCCGCCTGCCCTAAGTGAGCTCCCTCCTTCACCTAGCCCCAGCTTGTCCCCACGCAACTCAAAAACACATTCAAGTTCCCCTCCAGCCAGTTCCATGCGCGGCTCGCACGCCCAAAGGTCGCAATGCTTTTGCATCCATCCCATCGCCCTCTGGGCCGCCCGGCGAGGCTGGAACACCACCTCTTCGGCCAGCATCACGCTGTCCTGGCGACCAAAACCGCGCGGGGGCGCGCGGGTTTTTGAGGGACAGGTGGGGAATGACAAGCAGCGAGTCCGGGGGTGGGTGGAATAAACCCAGAACCGGTAATTAAAGGGGATTCACCTGACAGGAAATGAACCGAAAAAGGGATTCACCTTGCAGGAAAGCAGTGGGGCATGGTTTTTCTTGGGGCCATTCCAATGTTTCGATTCCCTGCGCAGAACCCCACTGGAGTCCCATTTGGGTAGGACTCTGAACCCTGAAGCATGCACCGAAAGGCCAAAACCCATGAGTGGTTTAGTGGTTTAGTGGTTTAGTGGTTTAGTGACTAACTTTTAGTGGTTTAGTGGAAAACCCATGAGTTGGCAAAAAGTTAAAGTCCTAACAGCCCTTGGCAAAATGCACCAAAGTGACAAGAAACGACTTACAAAGCCTGGGGCCATGATTTGTTGACCCTTGGCTGCTGATTCTTGAAACGCTTGGGGTATCTAAGTAGCCCCTTCCAATACTTTGATGCATCATGTTGGCTCCCTCTTACTGACTGGGACTTCAACCCCCACCCCCCACCCCGCACCCAACCACCCCTCCACCATACCCCCCCTCCCGCACCCAACCACCCACCCGCCCCAACCCCCCCCCAAAAAAAAACACAAAAAACAAAAGAAAGCAAAATTAATACAACACCAAAAATAAGCCTTTGACAGACCCAAGTAATCCAATAGTTTCCAAACCAAGGCTTGAGCCGAATCAAAGCTACCCAAAAGCTGCTGCACCCTTCTGTAGTGGCTTTTCTCTGTATGTGTTTCCCTCGTTGTTCCCCTCCTTTTTGCTTCAAGGCCTTCAAACTATCACTGCCATTTGCTTAAGCCCCCTGGAAAAAAGTATATATATATATATATATGTCCAGTCCCCTTTAAAACCAACAAGGGAAAAAATGAAAACACATTTATTTCAGCAAATCCAAGGTGAGTCAAGGCTTGTGGGTCTCAGTTCTCCCTCCACAGCGAAGCAACGAGCGAAGCGCGCGAAGCGCGCGAAGCGAGCGCGCGCGCCTTGGCGTGCCACGCGCCCCCGCGGGGCGCGATGCCCAGCTGCAGCTCGCTCTTCCGGGTGAGCCGGATCTGCGCTCGAGACGTAAAGCTGCGACACGGGACGTCGCGGGCTTTCGCGGAGGCGGCCGGTGAAAATCTTCACGGGAGTCCGAGGGAAACCGAGGGAAGCGGGAAGTCGCCACATCCGAGGGAAACTGGGGGAATCCGGGGTTTCTCAAGAATCCGAGGGAAACCTGCGAGAGAATCCGAGGGAAACTGAGGGAATCCGGGGTTTTTCCAGGGAATCCGAGGGAAACCTGCGAGAGAATCCGAGGGGAACTGGAAGAATCCGGGGTTTCCAAGGGAATCCGAGGGAAACCTGCGAGAGAATCCGAGGGAAACTGGGGGAATCCGGGGTTTCTAAGGGAATCCGAGGGAAACCTGCGAGAGAATCCGAGGGAAACTGGGGGAATCCGGGGTTTCCCAAGGGAATCCTGTGAGAGAATCCGAGGGAAACTGGGGGAATCCGAGTTTTTCAGGGAATCCGAGGGAAACCTGCGAGAGAATCCGAGGGAAACTGAGGAATTCGGGGTTTCCAAGGAAATCAGAGGGAAACCTGCGAGAGAATCCGAGGGAAACTGAGGGAATCGGGGGTTATCCGAGGGAAACCTGCGAGAGAATCCGAGGGAAACTGGGGGAATCCGAGTTTTTCAGGGAATCCGAGGGAAACCTGCGAGAGAATCCGAGGGAAAGTGGGGGAATCCGGGGTTATCCGAGGGAAACCTGCGAGAGAATCCGAGGGAAACTGAGGAATTCGGGGTTTCCAAGGAAATCAGAGGGAAACCTGCGAGATGAGGGAATCCGCGGTTTCCCACAAAAAAGCCGAGGGAAACCTGCGAGAGAATCCGAGGGAAACTGAGGAATTCGGGGTTTCGAAGGAAATCAGAGGGAAACCTGCGAGAGAATCCGAGGGAAACTGAGGGAATCCGAGGTTATCCGAGGGAAACCTGCGAGAGAATCCGAGGGAAACTGGGGGAATCCGAGTTTTTCAGGGAATCCGAGGGAAACCTGCGAGAGAATCCGAGGGAAAGAGGGGGAATCCGGGGTTTCCCAAAAAATCCGAAAAAACACCTGCGAGAGAATCCGAGGGAAACTGGGGGAATCCGGGGGTTCCCAAAAAAAGGAGAAAAAAAAACCTGCGAGAGAATCCGAGGGAAACTGGGGGAATCCGGGGTTTCCCAGGGAATCCGAGAGAAACCTGCGAGAGAATCCGAGGGAAACTGGGGGAATCCGGGGTTTCCCAAAAAAACCCGAGAAAACCTGCGAGAGAATCCGAGGGGAAACTGGGAATCCGGGGTTTCCCAGGGAATCCGAGGGAAACCTGCGAGAGAATCCGAGGGAAAGTGGGGGAATCCGGGGTTTCCCAGGGAATCCGAGGGAAACCTGCGAGAGAATCCGAGGGAAACTGCGGGAAGCCGGGGTTTCCCAAAAAATCCGAAAAAACACCTGCGAGAGAATCCGAGGGAAACTGGGGGAATCCGGGGGTTTCCCAAAAAATCCGAACAAAAACACCTGCGAGAGAATCCGAGGGAAACTGGGGTTTCCCAGGGAATCCGAGGGAAACCTGTGAGAGAATCCGGGGTTTCCCACAAAATCCGAGGGAAACCTGCGAGAGAATCCGAGGGAAACTGAGGGAATCCGGGGTTTCCCAGGGAATCCGAGGGAAACCTGCGAGAGAATCCGAGGGAAACTGGGGGAATCCGGGGTTTCTAAGGGAATCCGAGGGAAACCTGCGAGAGAATCCGAGGGAAACTGGGGGAATCCGGGGTTTCCCAAGGGAATCCTGTGAGAGAATCCGAGGGAAACTGGGGGAATCCGAGTTTTTCAGGGAATCCGAGGGAAACCTGCGAGAGAATCCGAGGGAAACTGAGGAATTCGGGGTTTCCAAGGAAATCATAGGGAAACCTGCGAGAGAATCCGAGGGAAACTGAGGGAATCCGGGGTTATCCGAGGGAAACCTGCGAGAGAATCCGAGGGAAACTGGGGGAATCCGAGTTTTTCAGGGAATTCGAGGGAAACCTGCGAGAGAATCCGAGGGAAAGTGGGGGAATCCGGGGTTTCCCAAAAAATCCGAAAAAAACACCTGCGAGAGAATCCGAGGGAAACTGGGGGAATCCGGGGTTTCCCAAAAAATCCGAGAGAATCCGAGGGAAACTGGGGGAATCCGGGGTTATCCGAGGGAAACCTGCGAGAGAATCCGAGGGAAACTGGGGGAATCCGGGGTTTTCCAAGGGAATCCGCGAGAGAATCCGAGGGAAACTGAGGGAATCCGGGGTTATCCGAGGGAACCTGCGAGAGAATCCGAGGGAAACTGGGGGAATCCGGGGTATACCACAGAATCCGAGGGAAATGATTGAGAGGTTCTGAGGGAAACCGAGGGAAACCGAAGGAAAGCGAATCCAAGGGGTTTCCCAGGGAATCCGAGGGAACCTGCGAGAGAATCCGAGGGAAACTGGGGGAATCCGGGGTATACCACAGAATCCGAGGGAAATGATTGAGAGGTTCTGAGGGAAACCGAGGGAAACCGAAGGAAAGCGAATCCAAGGGGTTTCCCAGGGAATCCGAGGGAACCTGCGAGAGAATCCGAGGGAAACTGGGGGAATCCGGGGTATACCACAGAATCCGAGGGAAATGATTGAGAGGTTCTGCGGGAAACCGAGGGAAACCGAAGGAAAGCGAATCCAAGGGAAACCAAAAGGACCAAACTTGTCTTGCAAAGGAAGCTCACCAGGTAAACTGGTGTCAAACATTGGAAGGAGGATAACCCCATTACATTTATAGCCGAACTCTGTCCCAAACTTCAAGGTCATTGATCAGCAACTCTTACATCCGTTTGCTTCAAGTCCCCCGAAAAGGAAAAAAAAACTGGCTTCTGCGGGCGATATATCCAGGCGTATTCACCACTGCCCCTTAAGTTCCAAGGCACAGGGGACTTTTGGTGAGGTCCCTTTGGTTCACCCCGGGTTTTTTTGCTGCGCAGACCGCAACAAACATCGGCTCGCATGGGATCGAGGCGCCTCCTTGCACCTCGGGGAGGCCGGGGAGATGATGGTCTCCTGGCCGGAGAGGCGAAGGCAAAGGGAGCCCCTTGCTGCGGGAACTTTGCGGTGGCCTGGATTCACGGCGAATTGACCCATAAACCTTAAGTGATGTGGGTGAGTTGACCCTTTTCCGGATTTACCCTGAGTTGACCCTTTTCGGGAACTTTGCGATGTGGCTGTGGTGGTCAAAACCGTTTTGGGATCCCATCTTGGTTGGTAGGTGAATTCACCACCCATTTTAGAACCTAAATTTAGTGGGGATTGCTATGTTCACTGGGGGTACGGGATTTTGACCCATGGCCATGTGGATTCACAGTGAATTGACCATAAACCCGAATTGATGTGGTGAAACTCAACCTGAAAGAAGGAGAAACCCATGAAAGGCTCTACAACACCCGGCTCAAATCCAAATCCAAACCACAAACAACTGGGTATGGGTCAAAGTTAAACCACTAGGAATCGGACCGCAGGATTTAATCCTTTCCATTTGTCAGGGCAAACCATTTGGGTTTGCCTCTTTTTTATGACATCAGAGCAACAAAGCTGTGATTTGGATTCATCTTGTGGAATGATCCCCCTTCTTGGGGAGCACAAAGCTTGATGCGCGTGAAGCATGATCAACTATGCTAAATACAACCCCATAGAAGGGTTTCCATCGTTGCCTATGAAATGAATGGAAAGGAACCCTCGAGGGGCAATTGATGTGGGTGAAGTATGATCCATTATGTTCCCCCTGACCTAGTTCAACCCCAAAGAAGGGCCATGGCAACCTATGAAAGGAACCCTGAACCAGGGTCACGTTGCATCATCATCCATATGTTGTCGTTGCATAGTCACCATCATCTTCGCCCCGTGTTCCACCGGTTCGCTCTACAAATTTTCAGGAACCCAACAGCAGGTTACCTGGGGGCTTCCCTTCTGGGACCAATCGCCGGGAACCGCCTTGTGCGGGGAAGGGTGCTTTTTGGGGACTCCATGTTGATCTTCAGGGCACCAGTGAACCTGGCAAACTATTCATACCCTACAGACGCTTGACAACCCTTTCATTCTTTCATTTGTTGAATGTTGGCTATTGCTCGTTTCCCCAAATTGTGAGAGGCTTGGGTTCCAGCCCCTGATTGCGCGTTTCGAGACGCCAGCCCCCAAATTGTGATGAGAAACCCAAACAATCCCAGGAAAAAATGCTCCTTCACTGGATTTCCCCTTCAAAAGTTGCGGCTTAGTGGTGGAGTCCAACAAAGTTGCCACTTTGGGAGGTTCCAAAAAAGAGAAGTGGAGGCTGGACCCCTGTCTTTTGGGAAGCACCCAAAAAGGGACTGAAAGTGGCATTCAAAGGGATGATTGATTGGTTAAGGGAAAGCAGCAGGAAGAAAAAAAAGACGGAAACCTTCAGCACCTAGAGGGGTCCCTGATTTTGACAAGCGGGAGACGCCCATCTCCGTTCTTTTGGACCTCCCGCCTGCTCAACCTCCACCGTCGCGGGGGGCTGGATCAGCGCCCGGACCTACCAAAAGTGTGGTGTTCCCTTAAAACCACCAAAAAAGGGGGGACCTACCAAAATTGTGGTTTCCCTTTTGGTATTCCTTGAAAAAAAGGGGGGGGGACTTCAACAAGAAGACAGACCCATTTAGCTTGCTGAGATACAAACCCAGGTCTGTTGAGATGCAACAAAGGTTGTTGACAGACCCATTTAGCTTGCCGAGATACAAAACCTAGGTCTGTTCGCTTCAGCAGTGGACCGAACATGGGATGCTTTGTCATACTGCTCACCCTCATTTGCTTCAAACCTCCTGCCATGGCACTCCAACCGAAGGCCCTGGTTGTGTAGTCCAGGTGCTAAGACAGCAAAGAAATATGTTTGGATGTTCACCGCTACAGCTTGCGTTGGACACCCCGACTTCCTACCTATAGCTCTCTCAAAATGTTTGTTCGAATTTCAAGGGCTGGGCGCAGGCTGCATGGCCAAAGTTGGCATCTGAGCCAGCCTTCGCACCTGCCTGGAAATCGATGTCTAGCATTGAGACGTTTCAAGAGCATAACTTGGTACTTCCCAATGGGCGGAAGAATGACCGATTGAAGTTATGGGTCTGCATGATATGCGCTTCGAATGTCGCTTTTGGAATATGCGCTATGGTTTGCCGGCCCTCGAAACTCTATCGAATAAAACTGTTGAACACTAAGGGCCAGACCACGCAATGCTTCTGTCGTTTCAATACGGCTTGACTCACCTCTCGGCTCATTCGGACCGTGGTGGCCGGTATTCCTGTCGAGAAACAGAAAGCAGAACAGAAACCCACACAGACAGCGAAACAAATGCCAAAACTGGGCTGCCCTCAGATCCCCCGCTAAAAGTTTAACTTTTCGTGGGTTCAATTCGGAAACTACCACTAAACCACTACAAGGATCTAAAAAGCGCTTTGAACCGGATGCCTGGGCTTGCCACCCAGAAACCACCAAAACGGACCAGTAGCACCGCCATGCCTGCCGCCCAACATGGCTCCGCCTGCCATGCGGGGTAGTTCCGGAAGGCCATCGTGCCGTTGATGGAGAGGATCACCGCGCCTGACGAACTGCGCGCGCGAACCCGGCGACGAAGCGCGCGAGAGCCCTGGATCGCAAGGCTCCGTGCCCGCTGGAGCATGTCAGGTTCCCGGAAGATTTTGTTTTTTGTGGCGACTTCAAGTGACCTGTTGTTCCAACGCCACATTTAGCCCTTGGGCCGGCATAAAACGCTGTGGACTTGGGGCTGCAACGCCAGGGCTTGGGCCGGCATAAGCACTGTGGACTTGGGGCTGGGTCAATGTGTATCTAGGGGTAGCTGATGGGTCAAAGCCTTGGATTGAGTTGGGCTTCAAGTTGGGCTGATGCGCAGTTGGATGATCTGGTGTAGCGCTGAAACGAATTGCCGCTTGCCAACATCCTGATCTTGTGATAGCCTCGACGCCTTCTTGCACACACCTTCCCAATGCAATACAGTTTCCAACATAGGCAACGGTCTGCCCTGAACAGTCTCCTTACACAATGCCGCAGCTTGCTTCATGAATTGCGGCAGAGATGAATTGAGTGTAACATAGATCGTGCCAGGGAATTTGGCTGTGGGTCAGAAATAGGCACCCAAAATGGATTGCCCTGGCAAATGGACACATGGACTAAGATCTGCGATCCGATTCCTGATAATTTATTTTTAACCCATACCCAAATTTCATGTCAACTCCCCCAGTTGGGAACGAGCTCGCCCACCAGCCAGGAGTCCAAAACCCAACGGGCCCAAAACCAAACCCACGCACACGCACTGAGAGCTCCGCAGGTGCCTTCACCGCCGTTTACAAACCGACCGCCGGCCCGCGAAAATTCCGCGCCCTGAGATCTTGAGAAATTTTTGTCCAGCTCCGCTGATCAGAAGATCTGCGCGGAAGCCATGCAAACACAGGGGTCGCTAGATCTCCCCCGAATCCAAGGTTGATCAATTTGCCGGTGGTTGCCGTGGAAACCATCGCCACTTTTGGGAACGTCCAAAAAGGGCAATATGTTTTTGCATGCCAAAAAGCTGCTCCACAAGGCCTGGTGTCCTTCCGTCCCTTCCCCACCCCACCCATTTCTGGCCACCGACGCACCGAAGCGGAGCTTTCCCGCCTGGCTTCACGCCGGCCTGCTCCGCCCTGCCGCCCTGCGCGATCATCTGGATCACCACCGGGTTGCCCTGGCAACTGGGGTCATTGGTTTGAGGGTTTCTGAGGGCTATCAAAGTCAGAAAAATGGGGTTGTTTCCCTTAACCTACCACTTGGGTGACTTTGATCCTGGTAAAGTAATGAGGCCAGGGCAAGGCACCAAGCGGATTGGAATTCCAACCGGGTTGGGTTCTTGGTGAGGAAGCTGCTCACTTCCGATCGAGCGGATTGGTCAAAACAAGTAGCCAAACTTTCCTCGTTTACCGCGAAAATGGTGACCCAAAAAGTGACTACATTCCAGGAACTCAGGACGCGAGGAAATGCACGACTTTTCTTCCTTGACTGTTGATAAGCGCTGCATGCTGATGCTGGGACTCTTCGCGAGCTGCCAAGGCTGTCCGGGAAACAGCACCCGAGAGGGACGGAGTTGAACGCGGAAACCTGGAGATTGCTCTCAGGGAAAAAAAACACGAACCGCACTGTATGCAAGCAATTTTTTGCCACCAGAAGATGGTGCTCTCAAGACTCTCAAAGTGGGTGCCGGGCAAGGAATGCCCCGTGCTCATAATGCCTTGTTTGCGTGAGAACCGATTGAAAAGGCTGGATTCCTAGGTAATTACATTGAACGCATCCTTCGTAAAGCAGTCAGGGCCAACATCCTAAAGAGTCCTCCGATGATAGTCCGCCCTTCAGGCGTGCATTCCTCGCGGATATGAGGGAGAAAACTCAAAACCTCGAACCCCGGATTGTTTTTCTCAACTCACTTGTCCGAAGACTGGCAAAGAGGTTTACCATTTGAAGCCAAAACGAGGCACGACCAAAACAGGGAACCAAAAGGTACAGGTGAGTCGTCTTGCATAACGTGCTTGGGCTTTCTTGAGGATATCAGTCGTATGGACGCAAGGCTCCAAGGGAACGCCGCAAGAACTTCATTTCTTCTGAACGGGATGCCAACTCAATACTACGAGTAAACCAACCACAAACCATGGTTGACCTCGTCCGGGCTTTCCCTTGTTGCATTGCAATATTGAGTTCGCATCCACCCCAACCCTCCCTTTTCACTCCCACCACACTCACCCACCCCCCAACTCACCCCCCCACCCACCCAAAGACTTCTCAGCTGCATCCTCCCACTTCAGCGCTTCCAACTTGCGGCTTGGCGCGTCGCAAGCGGCCGCAAGCGCCTGGCCACCCGCCAGCGTCAGCAAGTCATTCCGCGGATTGTCCTCCTGGGCACCCGTAAGGCAAACGCAAGGCACCCGCAAGGCACCCGCAAGGCAGACGCGTCTTTTTTGCGCCTTCCGCGGTTCGTTTCTCCCGATTTGCCCTAAGAAAATGGGCTTCCGCAGGAAAATATGCGTCCCCTGATTTCAGCCTTACTGATCGCAGGAGAACCTTTGCTCGCAAGAGACACAAGAATCTGGCTACAACCTAAAGCTTGGTATCAGTTTGGTCTCCCTTTGCCTGTTTCGTATCCTGAGATCCTCTGAAAGGACCCCACTCACTCATTTCTTCAAGTTGCCAAGTCGCCGTCCTCGTTTGCACCCTTCCATGATGGCCGGCAGCCCAAAAACGGGTCAATGTTGACCAACAACCTGATTAAACGTGTTGATGGTTGGTCACACATGTCTTGCGCAACGCTTGTGTTTTGGTTGTCCAGCTCCTGGTGCAACGCATGATGACTCATGATGACGCTTGATGAATCTTGTGTGTTAGCCATCTCTCGCAGCAGTTTCTAAAGCTCTCAAACTGGGGTAATTTTACTCGCTCAACCCGAATACGACAAACAAAGACATGTGTTCTGGTCACGAAGCATGACACGTCTAGAGCTTTGATGACGACTTTCTGCTGAGCGTCTTCCTGGTGCTGCTCTTGGTCACTTCCCTTGGTCCTTGGCTCGAAACACCTGCTAAATGCAGCCTTGAGATGGAACACTTCTTAGTCGGAGCCCAGGCTTGAACATCACCCAAAATCAAGCGGCTTTTCCGAAGCTGGGATGAAATGCGTTGAACCTTGGAACAAATACGTTTGCACAACTGCCGCTTGCAATGCAAAGCACCCTGGTTGCTGGTTGCTGAGTTCCTGACACTCATCCACTCGCACAAGCACCAGGGGGCGTTTGCCACTCAAAGCTCTACTCATTTCAAGCTTTGGCATGAAGGCCATACGCAAACTGTGTTGATGGATGTCCTTCACATGCGAACTAGCAAGTCCCTGCTACTGTCTTGGAAGATGCGCGTGCCTCCTGTCATTTCGTCTGCACGGTACAGTATCCTCAAACATATAATTTGCCCAAGAAAGTGATGTTTGTATCTAGCACGTCGTGCCGCGCCAATAAAAACTCCACCTGGCTCTTTCATGCAGTGCCTCGAAACCACACACACCCTCGCCCGGAAGCGGAAAGACGCCCCTCCTGCTGGTATCGCAGGGAAATCCGGCGCTTGTTGGCAGGCGGGGCCTCGCGTATCTACCCTGAAGAGGTTTTGCGCTTCGTTTGGGATCGGACCGTCCCAAAGGATCTGGGAAGGTTCAAATCTCCGACCACAATGCAGAGCAATGTGAGGCACTTGGACACAAAGCATCAAGGGTATGAGTATCGGTTGTCGACCTGGAATAAAGCTCGTACAAAAGGAAAACACGTCATCATAGGAACCTTGAAATCAACTGGTGACCATGATTTCCAGTCTGGCCGCATCAAGCTGACTTTCATGGTGCCCTGACTTTGAATGCCGTCAACTCCCACGCTGGCGAAAGCCCACATCTAGCAAAGGCTAAAGGCGCCTGCTGACCAACTGCTAGGCTGACGTCGTGCCCGTTTGAAGTAAGTAAGGGAAGATCCTCTGACCAATGAAAGGACACTTCGCTGCGAGGGCATAGAGCGAGTTCACCTTTTTTCTTTCTCTCTTTCTCTCTCTCTCTCTCTCTCTCTCTCTCTCTCTCTCCCTGCTGTCCTTTTAGGGGAAATAGGTGGCCCTGGTAGATGATTAAATTAGCAGGTAACCCAGGGGAACCCACCTACAGTTTCTACCAAAACAACCGAAAAGTACCCCTATGTCCGTGGTCAGCTGAAGTGCCCCCACTTCCCCCGCATGACCTCCACAGAGCAAAAGTGAGGACCTGGGGCTGTGCCGGACCCGCCACCTGTTTGATTCGACGGGGGCAGGTTGAACTACTACTACTACTACTACTACTACTACTACTACTACTACTACTACTACGACGACGACGACGACTACTACTACTACTACTACTACTACTACTACTACTACTACTACTACTACTAGTACAGCTACTACTACTACTTCTATGATTATTATCATTACTGCTTGTACTACTGCTACTCCTCTTACACGACTACTATTAATTCTATTACTACTACTATTATTACTACTGCTAAGTACTTCGCCGGATGTTCAAACAAAGAATTCGGCCCTGCGAATTGGTGCCTGAAGGACATCGGAGGAATGTCCTTCTGCGGACTAGCGAGGGTTGGTTCCTCTTTCAGTGGAGGGCATGGTTTCTGTTTCAAGGGACGCCTCTCATCAATATGATGTTCAGCATGAACAGATGCACTTGGGAGGCTGCGTGACGCTTTGGAGAAGCATTCCCCGCTCCAAGCACCCGTCAGGGCATATCCACAGAACTGGACTTCTCGTCGGCGGGCGAGACTCCTTGAATTTGGGCTCCTAACCCTGGGTGCTGATTGCAGATCCGGTCTCCACTGCAACTGCAACCGTTGCACCAGTAGAGAAGCAGTGGAAAAGAACGCGAGAGCAAGTGGCCAGGTTGGTTGGCAGGGCGAGTGATGCGAAAGACAGCAAGCCCTTGGTGGCTTTTGAAAGGAAACCGATGTGGAGAAGCCTCCGGAAGGCAAACAATCCTTCAGAGACCGCCTTCTAGCAGGGTTCCCGGGAACGAGGACCATAGGTGGCATTTTGGTTGGAAATAGATAGGTTCCCTTGCAAAACGCAAAGCTCGTCTAAACCAGTGTAACCCATCTATTTCCAACCAAACTAAACTAAAAAGGACACCCATGCTTCACATCTTGCGAAGAATTGAGGTTCGGATTTAAACCCTCGGCTTTCATGAGGGATGAATGACAAACCCTCAGCCGCTTTGCCGGCCGACCCCGCTTTGAGGCAACCCCCGTTGCGACGCCTTCCAGCTGAGGCCCCGGCAGCGTCACGCAGCGACGCGGAGAGCGTGGGCTTGCTCTGCGGGTCTCAGCGCAGAAAGTGAATCCGGGGGTATTGGGCGCAAGGGTGCTGCTTAACATACTGTGGATGGACAAAATCCGTTCGCACCACTTTGAAGCCAACGGGAACCATTGTTTGTCGGTATTTACAGGAGAATCGAATCATTCCAGGCTTGATTCGGTGCAGGATGTCGTCCAACCACATCGCGACCAGGTGTCCTGGTAGCTTCTCATCAAATACCGACACTGTGGCCCTCAAGTTTCTCCACTGACTGGGCACCTGGGCAAGGCCGAGTTACGCCCCTTAAGTTAAAAGAGAATGCTGACCGTTTCCTTTTGGTGCAACTCGGCGTGCCATGATCTTGGCGAGCTGAGATTCCCTTGGGAAGAAGCTGGTGGTGGGGCTGGCTGAAGGATTTGCAGGAGACCTTGTGAAGCATGTCGGTAAATATGTGTCATGCCACACGGCCAACGCTTGACAAACTAGGTCAACATCAAGTCAAAGGTATGAGACATGCAAAATCAGGGCTGTGGGAAATGGAATCCACGTGTGTGATACAACAGAAAAGGCTTCCCCAAAGACTAACCCCACATGAGGGGGAGATTCCCTCGTGTCACAGAAGTGGGGATAAACCCCTTGATCCTATAACCCTGTGCACGTTTCCCTTCACAAGTCGGTCAATTCATCTGCATTTCTGTCTTGTGGGCCCAATCAGCTTCTGTCATTGGCCGTTCAAGTCACAAGTGCCCCAAGTTCATCCAGGTCAAGTTGAAGGAAAGGCAACGCAGGCCTGGACTGCATGCTCCGGCATTGAACAGTGTGGCCGACTGTGCCACAGTTCGGCAGAAAAAAGAAATAACCACACGCACAAGCTCCCAACGTTTTGCTCCTTTTGGTATCTGTCCTCGGAGCCGACTGGTCCTGACAAGACCCCTTACAGCCACGAGCCGCACGGATGCATTTCCGCCGGTTCGCGGGTTGCGCGTCGCTTGGCGGCATTTCAAATTCACAACTAGGCGCCCACACTAACTGCTGCTGGTAGCACATGGCGAGACCTGACAGGCCAGTCTGTAGCAGGTGCTTTTTAACACCACCTCAAAAAAACCCTGGAATGATTCGATTCCCCTGTAAATACCAACAAACAATTTTGTGTCCATGGATTCAAAGTGGTGACTGCGGCTCAAGTAAAAAAACTGAAATCTTGCACCCGGATAGATTGGCCAAGTGGCTAACACTGCCAAATGCTGACTTGGAACTGCCGGCCAGACGTGTCGAATGCCATGGAACTAGCGGGGCACTGCGACCTCCGATTCATTGAGAAAGAGCTTCGGTTTCCCCCCGAAGTGTTTCTGAGGGGATTCCACGATCGAATGATTGGAAAGTCTCCTCCTCTTGAAATTGATGAATAGTTATTCACAATCCTTGGTATGGTAGCAAGACTTGTTTTTGCAGCCCCCTACTAAAAATGAACAGAGCCAAAGACAACAACTTGCCAAGAACGTGCCGGGATGATCAGGGATGGTGTCAAAACCAAAAAGGGAAAATACATATTTTCTTTTCAGCAGATGGAAGTTGGCTGTGTCGATTGGTTCGGAGGTTGTGCCGGCGCACTGCCTCGGGTTGGGACCAAATGAGCCATGCACCATACTCAACCAACGAGGGATTCCTTTTTCCCTGCGATCTGGACGAGAAAAAAACACAATATGGCCTTAGAGTCCAAGAAGAGGCCCCTTGTAGACAGTGGCAAGCCTGCCCCAACTCTTTGGTACCTCGGCAATTGGTGTTTTCCGGTGCCAGCAGGCCAATCCAGATCCAACTCCCCAGTGCACAAGGCCAAGGTCTAGCTTGCTTGGCGCCCGGACGGCCCGGTGATAGGAGCCTGGAAACAGGCCGGAGCTCGCAGTTCCCATGTGCGGATCGGATATGCTCACAAAAAGCAGCAGGGACAAATGAACAAGGAGCATGTGCTCACTGTCGCAGCTCATGACATGGTCGTCTGCAATCATTCTGCTCCGGACAATTTGCTGAAAAGGAAAAGATTGTTCACATTTGGCTGTGGCTCAAAAAAAACGGCACCAAAATGGAACCCTGGTAATTGGAAACATGGACCAAAACCTGCGTAACCCCTCCTGTTTCATTTTTGAGCCACAGCCATTTGTGACAGTATCTTAGGCCGGGAGGACGATCCTCAATGTTGTTTGGCAGCTCCGACGCGTATTCCGAATTCTTCATCTATCGTGTGACCTCCAGGATCTTGGCAGCTTTGTGCGCCTTGGAACTGGATAAGCAAAGGACACTTCCATATTGGACCTTGCCAATGCCTTAGCGACCACCTCGGGCCATGAGTAAGTGTGCCAACACATGTGAGCTGCGAACTCTCGAACCTTTGCCGCATCCGTCCCATTCCTTGTCGATGTCACCCGAGAGAAACAATAATCATTGCACCAAAGGGGTCCCATGTCGGGCGTTTGACAAAAGGGGTCCTATTTGTGCTTTTGAAAGGGGGAACTTGGCTTCCTGCAGCAATCTAGCTTGGGCGACTCAAAATGATTCGGTGACTTGCTAGGAACAAGCCAGAAACGAACCGATCTTTCAAGGGAGGGGGGGGGTTCGTGGAGTTGTACTTGAACACCAAACAAGGCTCTCCAAAACCAAAATATCTGGTTCCAGACTTGCTGAATATTACCCTCCTGAAGGGCAAGGGCCACACGAAATCTACCGGCGCATTCGTTCCTGAGAACCTAAGCTTGCGCAGATTCAGCTATTTTCCGGTCATACTGTCATCCCTGTTTTCAGACGTTCCACCACCGTCCCTGGCTTCTGCGCTTGCCGACTCCGGGGCGTCGGCTACGGCTGCGCTGGCTGCGCTGGTTGGGCCGCGGTCGCGCGGCGAGCCCTGGGCCCAACAAAGCGGCACGACCTCCCTAAAGGCCCTTAGCGGATTACTTGGAACGCGTTGACAAGAACAAGTTGGCCACAGCAAACACCCTGCCTGAGCCAAAAGGCCCTGCCTGAAAAGGATAAACATCATGCCCTGCAGTTTGTGCATTGCAAACAACTGTCCCGAGCAGATCGCAAACTACAAGCACCTGCAGGGAAAGCTGAAATCAACTTTGTAAAAAAGAGTTGAAAGAGCGCTAAGGGGAAGCGCATGGATTCCAGACCCTGCTAACTGTGCGTGTTTTCTTTTCAACACATATGTGAATGAATGGCTTGGCAGTGATTCTCAGTTGCCCATCTGCTGCAACTCTTGCTGCTGGGTGGCCCTTGTCACACACGCCTGTTCTGCAGAATGGCTTGTCGCTTCCGGGCATTCAGGCGAGCGTATCTTGCTGATCTTGAAATACGGATCCAAGGAGTCTAGCACATATGCAAGTTCTTAAGCCAGTGAGCATGACGAAACTGCCTGTTGGGATGCTTTGCGCACAACCAACTAAGTGTTAGGACCCGAAAGCTGGTGAACAATGGCTGCGAAGGGCAAAGCCACGGGGAACTGATCGTGCAAAAAGCAACATGTTCTTCTTGGTTCAAAAATTGTCAGTTGCTTTTAGGTCTAGGTCCTCCAGAAAGGGTAAAAGGGCACTACTGGGGGAGGTGCACAAGGTAGCACTCTTTGGAGGCCCTGGCTGACTCAGCAAGGGCTCAATTATGGTGAATTGGGAGGCCAAAAAGAAGGCGCGCCCGTTGTTGGAATGCCTTTGGGGCGCGAATACTCAAAAAGCAAAGTGACCAAAGGTATGGGTCCCAAAACTTGACAGACGGCAAATATTGAGGAATCACTTTCCGGCACTACACTGCAGCATTCAGCCGAAGAGACAAACCAAGGTCCTGGACGTATTCTTCCAACAATCATGGAAGTGGGCGGGCGTCCCCAAAAAGAGGGTAGTCTTCACAACCTCTGCTGTCAGCTTCCATGATTGTTGAAGCGAGAGTAAAGTCCAAAGATCCGTGACCAGATGGCCATAAAGTCAAAAATGGGAACCCAAAATCCAAAATGGCTTGCCCTGGTACATGGAACCAAGACCTAAAACCTGCGGTCCAATTCCTCAAGACCTAAAACCTGCTGGCCAACTCTCGGTTGCTTTCTGCTCCCCTGCTAAAAGTTTAACTTTTAGTGGTTTAGTGGAAAACCCATTAGTTGGCAAAAAGTTAAAGTCCTAACAGCCAAGCAAAATGCACCAAAGAACTCCTGGTGGTTTCATCAGAACCAAAATCCAGCCACAGATTTTAATCCTCCGAGGCTCCGAGGAAGGGCTCAGCACCGGCCGGGACTCCTCGGTCACGAGTCCCACCCGAACATCTGGGCTGGAACCCTACAAAGATGGTAGGGTTGCGAACGTAGGTGTTTGTATATGCATACATGTGTGTGTGTGTGTATGTATATATATATACATAGATATATATATATATTTCTATATGTATCCGTGGGTCTATACCCGTCAAGAGTTCCAGCTGGGCGGATGAATGAGCATTGGTGTCCTTCTAGGGCAAGTAGATGGTCCTGGTAGATGATTAAACCACCAGGTAAACCAGGGGAACCCATCTAATTTTCGACCAAGCCAAAAAGGACACCTATGGTTGCGAAGTTTCGTTCCGCCTTTCTACATTAGGGCCCCAAAACAGGACCCTCAAAAATAATCTCCGATTCCCCTTTCCGAAGCAGCGGCTCAAACCTCGCTTGGAAGCAACTGGGTGATTCTTGCGCCTGTCATTTGGAGGGCCCCTGGTGGCCTCATCGGATATGACCCGAAAGCTTACCTGCCGTAAGTATATGCATGAAATACTGGTTGCTGCTCACCCCTCAGCTCAAAAACGTTCTTCACTTCGGGGGGGCGGGGTCCAATTCGGAAATCCCACCTGTTTCCACCACGAAGTTTTAAGAAAAAGTCCAAAGAGATCCAACTAGCCAAATATTCCACCGAGGAAAAAGACAAAAAAACTCAAAAGCCCCAAGATCCGTGGCCACCAAATCGCCACAACCGCTGACCGCCATCGTTTTGCGATCCAAGGCCGCGGCCACAGGCCTCAAAGGCGGACTTTTCGAGCCCCGAGCGCGGGACGACTTGGCATGGACGACTTCTCTCCACACGACGCAGGCAGTTCAGACAAGGTTCAAACGGATTTGGTTTTTTTTGGGTTTCCCTTTAGATTCCCCGCTCAAACAAGATGGGGGACCTTTGGAAAAATAGATGGGCGTCCCTGGTACACGGATGGCATAGAACCAATCTAAACCAGTGGAACCCATCTAATCAAACTAATCTTAAAAGGACACCTATGGTTCAGATCTTGTGGAGAATTGAGGTTCAGTTCAAAAACCCTCGGCTTTCATGAGGGATGAATGACAGAACCAAAGAAGACATGCCTTGGCACTGTCCACAAACTATTCCTCGGGAGTTCTGACCAAGAGTGACAAAGAGAGAGAGACAGACAGACAGACAGACAGACAGACAGACAGACAGACAGACAGACAGACGGACAGACAGACAGACAGACAGACAGACAGACAGACAGACAGAGAGAGAGCGAGAGGGAGAGGGAGAAGGAGAGCGAGGGAGATAGAGACAGAGCGAGACAAAGCGAAAGAAAGAAAAAGGGAAGACAGAAAGAAAGAAAGAAAGAAAGAAAGAAAGAAAGAAAGAAAGAAAGGCGAAAAGAAAGAAAGACAGGCGGAAAGAAAACAATCAAAAAATAAAGAAAGACAAAAGAAGAAGAAGAATAAGAAGAAAAAGGAAAAAAAGAAACAAAAGAGAACAAATAAGCAAGAAAGAAAGAAAGAAAACAACAGAAAAAAAAAAGAAAAGAAAAGACAGAACACCAACTAAACAAGAGAGCGACCGTGACAGCGACAGCGAGAGCGACAGCGGGAGCGAAAGCAAGAGCGAGAAAAAGAAGAGAGAGAGAGAGAGAGAGGAAGCGGATGTACTTTGCAAACTGGTCTTTTGAACGGCTAAGAATGCGTTCCAACATCAAATCAAGGAAATCGGCGCTTGGAGCAATGGCAACAATGGTTCCGGTGCTGTCAAAGACTTCCCACCAAACTGAGGCGCAACAGCGAGCTCAAGCGAGATGGATGTGTCAGGCTCATTAACTTTGACTTTTTCAGGGGTACACTGCTCGACCTGGGCAAATAGCCCCGACCGACACAAACAAAGCAACAGTCCAGCAGCCAAGTCCAACAGTCCAAAACCCAAACAAAGCAACACCTCAAATCAAGTCACAGGAGCCCATTGCGGTGCCCCATGATCTTTACCAACCGGTTTGGCTTCAAACTTGGGTTTGGCGGTTTGAAACATACCCGCGTTCACGCGCGGAGCTCGCCGCGACAATTAAGGGGAGGCCGGCATGCCCGAGGGCGAAGAGCGGAATCAACATACTCGGAGGAGAAGTGTCCAGCGGCGATTCTTATTGGTCCCAACTCTTCGGGTTGCTCTGCTTGAAGTATCCCCAGCCTGTTTGAAAACTTCCAGAAACCAACCCGGCGACCGCTGAGTCGTGATCTACTGTGGCTTGGCTCTGTGCGCTGTCTCCATGGCCGAGCAAGGCAAAGACACACAACAGCCAGAAATACAGAAAACATCTCGGAGGAAGCGAACATGCACTCCCAGGGATTCAAGTGCAAGAGTGAGCCACACAATACCGCGACGGTTTCCCTGACGAGTCATCTTCCTTGTATCTGTGCAGCAAAAGCATCAAGTTTATCACACACCTTGCGCAACATATCAACGTTTGCAAGCGTGAACGTCTCTTGCTAAGGTAGAGTGACCAATATCCCCATTGCCCAGTCTAACCTCTTTCTGGCCGCCGCAGCACACAGGAGACACACACACACACACCCGATGTGCCTCCTACATGCCACCGCACAAAGGCGTCACTTGGCCGCCGGCCTGGCACTTGGGCTTACCTCGGTAGGCAGCCGCAGGTCCTGGGGAACACATCCGCCGCCGTCGCTGCGCCGGGTGGGTTTCTTCGTGGGGATGTGGTGGGAGAAAAAAAAAAAAAACGGTGCTGGCTGCTGACGACAGGAACAAGCCATGTGGGGGCATGACCTCCTGGTGCTGATACTTCAAGGGGCGATCGATGCAGAGTACGGCAGGTAAGTGGTTAGTAAGCCTGGTAAACCACAAAAGCTGTGGTCTTTTCAGTCTCCCTTCAGTCGGTGATTTCACCAGGAGTACTCTCACCACTTCCCTGACGTGCCCTGCATCGATCGCCCGTTTAAGTAGGCGTCCATACCAAAGAATAGTCACGGCAAATCCCAATTCACGCTCGGCTTCCAGTGGATTTTTGGCAGAAACTTGCTGGCGCTCAATAGGTAGGTAGGGAATGACCGAGTCCGAGTCCGAGTCCGAGTCCGGGTTTTGGCTGAACGAACCAGTTTTGGGGGTTCCCGAATGAAGGAAACCAGGAGTTGCATGGTTCCCCGCCTATCGAACCAGCAAGGAAAAGTGACCAGAAAGCATCACACACGGATGAGGATGGTATGATAAAACAAAACAATGCTTCCAGCCTTCTACAAGCGAAGGAGCACACTCCAGTCGACTTCTCTTAGTGGAGAAAAGGGTACAAGCTCCCTAATATTCATGCCGGTTCTACGGTTGCTTAATTCGTCCCGCCCTGCATGTTACATACACTTGCGCTAAAGCTGGCCACGTCGTACGCAAGGGGCGGCCGGCTACTTCGCCGGGCTTCTTGCAATGTCAGGGATGACGCAGGCCCGCAAATCTCCAGAAGCAAGACTTGTTCTGCGTGCATGGCACACACTGGCAGATATAACCAGCACACTGTTTTTTGGACTTGTTCTGTGTGAATGGCACACACCGGCAGATTTAAAGGACTGATGGTTTGCAAAGGGAAGCAAAAGGAAACGGTTCCTCCTTGGCAAAACGCCCGCTGACTTTCAACCCAGCGAATTCGAAAGCCCTGCATCGCACCCTCGTCCCGACTTCTCCGATCCCCGACTTCCCGAGCCCCCGAGCCTGCGGAGGCGTGAAGGTGAAGGTGTTGCCCCCCCTCAGCACGGCTGAGCTCAGAGAAAAGTCATCCGAAGTCTCAAATTAAGGCATCCTGGTGGACGGTGCGAGAAAAGCGACAACCAGCATGCCGCAACCATGGATCTACACGAGTACCTAGGAATATCTAGACATATCAGCCTGGGCTGCCTTTGCGGCTTGCGGGCACGGGTGTGGGTCAAAAACAGGGTAACCCCAAAATGGCTTGCCCTGGTAAATGGAAACAAGGACTAAGCCTGCGGTCCCCTGGTGGCTTAATTTTGACCCACACCCCAATCGTGTCCGTTTTCTTAACCAGGTGACAAAGGGCAATGGGCACCATAGAGCAATCCTGTTACTTACCTCAAACCAGGGATTCCGGGTACCAAAGGGGCTCCAAGAAGATGGGCCCCTTTGCTCAAAGAAGAAAGGAAGGGGCCTGAATGGACCCATTTGATCCTCAAAGAACAAAGGGATGTCTTTTCATTTGGATCCGAGAAAAAAAAAAGAGGAAAAAAAAAACGAGGGAAACAATGAAGAAACAAATAACAAGAAGAAGAAAACAACAAGAAGAAGAAAATCCCAACTCCCGACTCCCGAAAACTTCAGGGTGCGCTTGGCCCCCCCGCGGCCGCCGCAGGCTCGCGGACTGGAGGCAAGTCGCTTCGCTGGGAAGGCCGACACGCAGAAAGTGGAAAAAACCCGGAAGGAACGGAAAAAAAACGGCCGCGACCAGGGCGAGTCACCCTCCAAAAAATGACAGGCCCATGTAAGGACTCCCTGAAAACTCGGGGTTTGGTCTGCTTTCGGGTCTACGAAAACAAGGTTTGACGTTTGGGCAAAATGGACGCCCAAGCACTAAGCCAACTGAAAGCCGAAAGATGTAAATGAGATGGCTGGGAACCAGCAAGTGCACGGGTCCCTCGTTTCCTCAATCAAGGCTTCTGAGTCATGACTCACCAGTTCTAGGGCTAGGGGCAGCACGGATTTAACATACTGAGCTGTTCCTCTCGCAACGTGGACCCATGATGCGGGAAGCCGAAATAAATCTGTCCAATCCTTCACACAGCTGCAAAGCGCTCGGTGGAACAAGGAAAGGGCAAACACAACTCGATTAAGAGGCTAACACTGACTGTGACGCTTGCTGGAAGTGACTCGGCAAGACAAAGAGCAAAGCGAATTTCGAGCCAGGATTTTTAACCCCTGGTCGATTGCTGGTCGATCGAGAGAGGTGCTTCACTTTAAAGGGGAATGTTTACTTTTATCACTTCCTGAGTGGATTGGTCAAAAACAGCAATCAATGCCTTTGTTTAGACCCAAAAAGTTTAGTCCAGCAACTCAGGAAGCGAAATTTGGAGGAAACTCGCTCCAAATACATACACAAGGTCATTGCGGGGTCAACATTCTGCCGCCCCTCCTTCGCCGCTGAAGAACCCCTGTCTTCATTCTTTCACCCACCAAGGTCCTGATCAACACCCTTCACAGTAGCGGCGCTGAAATTCCATGAGCAACAACAAGAAGGCAAACATCATGCCAACAATAGCTCACTCGCCCCTTCGGGACCTGGAAATAAAAAGATGATCGCCTTTTGGGGGTCATGACTAAGAATGGGAACCCAACATGGGAAAACCAAAAGGTTGATTGATCAGGTCGATTTGCTTTGGACAACTGAGATAACCATAGTGCAATTGAAGCATGAGACCATGTTGACCCCGTATTAATCAACACCAGTTTATTCATAGGATGGGGGCCCCTCCAATAGTGGTCTGATTCCCCACATTTCACCCAGGGACACCCCCCCCCTATTGATGAACTGGGGTTGATGAAAGGCATTTCTTTACTCAGTGAGGCCTCCAGAGACGCATGAAATATGCAAAAACATCGGCAACAAGTGCAGCGGCACAAATTCTCTGCTTAAAGGGGCATTGTACGTCAAGCAAGTGAATAGCCTGGTGAAACAACCCACTTTCCAGCCATGTTTCAGTCTCCGTTCAGATCTGACCTACGATATAACCCACTGAACGGAGACTGAAAAACCGTGGCTTTTGTGGGTTATAATCTCACTGCCTGTTCAGTCGGAGTCACTACTTAGGGGGGCAGGGTACCCAGTAAGTGGTTAGTAAGTCTGGTTACAACCCACTCACCATGGTTATAAGTCTCTTAAGCGGGTTATGACTCACCAGGCTTACAAACTCTCCACTTACCCGACGTACCGCATCCGCATCGATCGCCCCTTCAACAGGGATCCTTACATTATACACCTGAACATTGCCTTGTAAATGGTGGTTTCCCTTTATTTTGGTGGATTAAAAGCCATGTTTCAAATGGTTGCAACATGTATCTTTAAGCAGCCCTGTTTAGGTGGGCTGGCGCGCGCGTGCGCCTGGTGCACGTGGGCCGTGTCCTTCACGCCCCGAAACTCCGCCTGAAGCGTTTGCTCTGAAGCGCGCGGGAATTGGCGCGGGCCAATTGGCGCGGGAGAATGGGCTGGGAGTACAAAAACAAATAAGCTCAGGCGATAGCCCCAACAGCATGCCGTGCTCTTTTTTGTGCTCGTACCACCCCGCAGCCCTCGTAGAACCTCGTGGAAGCCTGGTGGAAGCCTGGTGGAACCCTGGTGGAAGCCTGGTGGAACCCTGGTGGAAGCCTGGTGCAACCCTCGTGGAACCTTACCTCAGGGCCGCCCCGGACCACCCCGGAGCCTATCTGGGCTGAGACCCCAAAGCTTTCAGCTGTTGGGGAGAAAAAATTGCGGCCCGGGGGTTTCGATAAAATTGCCGTCCCAGAAGGTTGGGAGTCGAGCGCGGCCCAGCCGCGTTCCGGAAGGATAACCCTCCCCCAATTGGCCGAATCGGTAAATGGAACCAAGTCTTCCATTTTGGGCTTGCTTCCATGGAATTGGATTCCTGGGGGAGGGCACTCTCTCACCATTCACTACCCTCCCACCCCTTTTCACACATGGAACCTCACGTTTGGGGAAATGGTCCTGGATTCTCCTCTTACAGGGACCTGGATTCTCCTCTTGCAGGGACCATTTCCCGAACGTCGAACGGTTCCGGCTGTGAAAAGGGTGGCAGGGAAACATGAAGTCTTGGACACTGGCTCTGAACCTCAGCAACTTCAGCTTCGCCATCTCTAGGTGGCGTTTTGATCCCCCGACTCCCCCCCACCGCGTCGCTGATGAATCAAGTGCGGATAAAAGAGTGCTGAACGAGGACCGCGACTAGGCTCCATTGCGCCAAAACACGCGAGCCATCAGTTGACCATCAAGCACATACTCTACACATTGGCTCATAATAATGCCTCCATTTTTCCGTGGCCCAAGGCTTCAAAAACGAGGGCCTTCGACCTTCGGCACCAGATCAGCCAGCCATAGCACGGCTTCGATCGATCCCTTCCAACCTTTTGGACCTGAACGGATCTTTTTTTTGGAGGGCTCTGGGGGAGCGCGTTGACCAAAGCGGTGGAAGAGAACACGAGGCGTTCCCAGCTTCCAAGCATCACCGTGTGAAAGGACCTGCATCCAGGGCGAGATGGGATCCCCGAAGATCAGCTGGGGTTTGGCAGCGATCAGAAAGCTGCAACTCCTGGGGGCTCGCCTTTCAATGAGCTCGCGTCAGCTGACGGCTGGGTAAGTTTGCTTCATCAGACTCCTGCCAATGCCCCGTCCGACTATTCAAAATCCAGAACAGCGTCAAGTGCCCCCTGCGCCTTTCCCGAAGATACTAATTTCAATCAAAGGTTGATTGGCTTCCTGAATCTCCCAAAGTAACTGCTCCCTCCACAATTACACCAAACAATCTAGAGGTCTCACTGCGTCCGCATATGGAACCTGAAAACGTGTCGATCACTTGGCGCCCCTGCTCCCAGATCGCTCTCGATGCTGGTCTGAACGCGCACACAGGACCCAAAGGCGGTGAAAAAAGTCCCATCATTTCTAGAAAACGGCTTGGATGTGGCTTTTGTGGATCCACCCTGTAGAATGCAAGAGTACTAATAGACTACTATAAAAGCTTCAACAGGGGGACAGAAAGAGTGAAATCCCAAAGGCGCATCCAAACTCGTTTTCTAGATCATTGGTACCATGAACATCTGTGTGCCGTCTGAAGTAAGTAGGGTCCAAAATACATTGCGCCAACACAAGCCGCGCCAAGGGAGTCTGCCAGTCTGCCATTCACAAAAACAGGCGCCAGGAAAAATGAAGAGGTCGAAGGGAGCGATCTCCTCAGAAACGGAAACACAAGAGCGGTTTTCCTGGACACGGTTGATTCCCCCGTCAGCCTTGCAAATAGAGCATTTCTCACCAAAAATCAACTAAAGCCAACTATTGGCCCCAAATATGCTCGAGCCAAGGCTGATGCTGGCCAAGCAAATAGCCATGGGTGCCAGGCTGCTCGCTCAGCCGGGGCCTGCTTTAGCTGCGAAGTATCGTTTTGCTGACTTCATCCCCGCCGCAGGGAGGGAATTAAAAAAACAATCCCGGACCGCAGCCTCTCGTTCACAGCTGAGCACGAGGCCAGCCGAGCTCAAGCGGAAAACTTAGTTTCACATCTGCAATCCAGGGATCTCTATCCCCAACACCCAAAAACGCGTCATTTGTAGAGGGACAGCTGCAATCTCTGACAACTGCGTGTTGAATACGGGGCTTAGAAAAAGCAAGGAACTACATATCGCCGTTGGTTCTCCTTTTGGGCAACTACAAATATGGGCTAAGCTCCCAAGCAATACTGAACCTCCTATGGTGAACGGCCTTGAGCCATCTCTTGAGGCCTTTGAACCAAGTTAGAGACACCTGACTGTGAGTTGTTTTTCGACCTCAGTTTCTGCGAGCTGCTTACACCGGAGAGCCGGTTCTCAGTAACCATGCTTCTGTGACTTGCAGTGGGACGGAGACATCCAGTCCACAGGTCGATGTGACATGCAAGCGTTCTCTGTATGCTTAAAACCTAAAAGACGGCTGGGGATGAAATTTCTCTGAGGGTCTCAGGCCAGGCATGGAAACTTCAAGCTCTCTCCTTTCCTGTGGTCTTGCTCTCCTTCTCTTTATCTTCCTCTTTTCCTTTTCTATCTGTCTCTTCCTCTTTTTTCTTTCTCTTCCTCTTTCACTTTCAATTTCTTTTTCTGTCTCTCTATGTTTGTTAGCAAGAAGCGCAACATTCCGCTCTTTTGACCTAACAGCTACCATGTCAAAGGCTGTGTTTTTTTTTGCATAGCCCTGGCATTAGCCTAACCATGGCACAGCCTGGCGTGCACGAAAGAAGACACTAACGGACAAAGGTTTGGGGTGGGTTTAGGGTAGTCCGTTTAGGGTACGTTCAGGCCTGGCATCGTTTTGACATCCTCAGCATCGTCTTCAACATCCTCAGCATCACCAGGCTTTGGTTGGCTGGGTTTGGGGTGGGTTCCATGTTGGCTCAGGCTTGGCTCCAGGTGGGTTCCAGGCCTCTTGAGAGCAAATGCGGGTGGCTGTGCTTGAGGTAGGTGGTTTGGTGCTGGTTTATGGTGGGGCTTCTTGGGGTTGGTCTCGGGTGGGTTTAGGGCTGGTTTAGGGTGGGCGTAAAATTGGCTTCGGTCGTGGTTGTGTTTAAGTGGGCTTGGGGTGGTTTGAGGTAGGGTGCCACCTACCTTAAACCACCCAAGTGGGCTTAAACACAACCATGGCCGAAGCCAATTTTAAACCCACCCTAAACCAGCCCTAAACCCACCCGAGACCAACCCCAAAAAGCATCATCATAAACCAGCACTAAACCATCTACCTCAAGCACAGCCACCCGCAAATTTGCTCTCAATAGGCCTGGAACCCACCTGGAGCCAAGCCGGAGCCAACCTGGAACCCACCCTAAAACCAACCTAAACCAAAGCCTGGTGATTCTAAGGATGTTGAAAACGATGCTGTGGATGTCAAAACGATGCCGGGCCGCAACCTACCCTAAACGGACTACCCCAAACGTACCCTAAACCTAAACCCATCCCAAACCTTCGTCCTACCGACGCGCCAACCAACCAACCAACCAACCAACCAACCAACCAACCAACCAACCAACCAACCAACCAACCAACCAACCAACCAACCAACCAACCAACCAACCAACCAACCAACCAACCAATTAGCCTTGTGCCAGGGCTAGGCAAAAAAGAAACAAACAACAAACTTTCTACATGTCAATGGACAGGCCGCGCCTGTCGTGGAGAACGCCCCACCGACATGGGCGCCGGATCACATGGCCAGGTGCAGTGTGGATTCGCCCGGGTTTCCGGTTTTTCCAGGGCTGGCTCTTGACCCCGGCTGGTTTTTCCATTCGAATCCGGTGCTGTTTCTTGTCTGACAACAAAACTATATGGTTGCAACATACCGAAAAGAGCGTCGAAAAGTGTAGGCCATGGCAACAAGAGTGAATGTGGTTTACTTTGATACAAGGGCTTCGTGCTTGCTTGTGGCCTTGCTTTGTGTCTACTGGGGCTGTCTGTTGGCAGATCGAAGATCTCAGGCACCAATATTGACGCAAGACCCCCTGCTCTGGTTGCAACATCTGCTTCATCGTCCATTGAACGAAGCTCATAGACTCATAATTCAGGCATGGCGAGTTTTTGCTCTGGTTGCTCTGTGGGCTTGGCCACTTCAGGCGTTGTTCTTCAGTTTTGTTCATCACCGTTGCGCTCGGTCGGCTTTTTGGCATGTAGCACTGAAGCATAGGCGGCATCGCCGAGATCGATCCCAGCTTGGGACCGCAATCAACGGTGCCAAGGAGACTTTGGCACACTCCAGAGGAAAACTGGAGAGCAGCAGACGAAAACATTTGTGCATCTGTCAATTTTTTGGGGGATTGTCAATGAGGTCCACAAGTTGGGGCAATCGTCAAATCCGGCATGCCGAACTGTTGTCGGGGAATCAACCCTCGTATCGCTCATGGCCAAAGATTGGAGGTTCCTCCCAGTCAGCAAGATAAGACTTTCCAAAGCATGGGAGGCTTCTGGGAACAAAACTGGTTCCTGATTGATGGCCTAAGTCGGCCTTTAGAAAGCTAGGGGGTCTGCCAAGGTTCCACTTCAAGGGTTTCTCCGGGTTTCACGGAATCACACTGATTGCCTATGTCTGGCAAAAGCCTTAAAGTCAGATGGGGACAATTCCCCAGTGCTCACTTCATCTCCTGGAAAAAAAGCTGAGACGCCTTGAAGCACAGGGGTGCACGACCCGCCACTGTGTTTTTTTGTTTTTGTTTTTTCTCGAGCAGAGATGGGAGCTCATTACTCCTCCAATTATCCGCGTGCACGCAGCCTGTGCCAATGGCCCAAGGATCCCTTGGCGCCACCCTCGAAGGAATCCATTCATTAGCGACAACAAAGAGGAACACTTACTCCTGAAGCGGTATCAAAAATAACAGGAAAAAAAAAGGAAAACGTACGCTTGCAGCGGTCTCCAAAGGTACAGGCCAACGTTTCAGCCTCCACAAGGAAGGCACCGACTACGATGCAAAGCTGGCTTTGCAACGCCGAATTATGGCTCCATTGAGGAGAATCTCCTCGTACGATCAGTGATCATGCCCATGACACAATCTCTGATTCTAGGCAACCCTTGGTGTGGCCCTGCCCTTGTATTGCATGGCCCCCCCTCACAGAGCCCATCGATCCGTGCAAGCCCAACATTGCGGGACAGTACAGGACCTGAAAGTTGCAGTCTGAGTTCCCGCGGGGAATTCAGGTGGCTCCAGTGCCATTTGGCACTAGCGCCTGAAAGAGAACAAGGCCAAAACTCCAGGAAGGGGAGCCAAAGGCATGTGAGAAACACACCAAACGCATTGCTTCAGCCAAGCCATGGAATTCGTTTCCCCTGTTTGGCACTCCGCCCACGTTTCCGCCTCAAAGCGCATCAAAGCGCAGAAGATCTCAGGCCTGGTCAGCCTCAAATGGCGATTGCTTGGGGTATGGTGCATAAGCAGGCTCGCTTCCGATCGAGTGGGTGGGCCAGCAAAAGTCCCAGCTGGTTGGTTGCCACTATGGTCACACCAAAAGGCAAAAAAGTCCCAGGAACCTCAGGAAGTGAGCAGCTTTGATATGCCTTGAAGGGCTTGGTGTGTATATAAGGTTGACTCTCGTTTTATTATATAGGGTAGCTGGTACCAGTAGCGTGGTATCTGTGAGGTCGTGCCAGTGAGCTAAGCTGGTGGATTTCAAAGGTCCCCGAGGTCAAGTAATGCGGCCTTAGGCATATGGGGGTTCATTAAAAGGGTCTTTTACATTGGTAAACCACCAAAATGACCATTAAAAGGGTCCCTTTTGATTAAGAATGTCATTAAAAGTGACCATTAGAGAAACCACCAAAATGATCACTTGCACCAGCAAATGGGAAAAGCTACAGTTGCCCATGGTCATTTGGCGCCGAACGGAACATTGACCAACCCCCCTATATTATCGTTCCCAACGAAGGACTCATGAAGAGCTCCTCTGTGATGGGGACTGCTCAGTCGAACACGGCATGAGTCTCTCCGAGTGAACTTCTGATTTCACGAGAGGTTCATCCTCCCCCGATCATCTTTTCTTGGCTTGCGGAGAACCCAAAGAGTGTACGATGTTGCATGTCCTGCTTGGACCCACCTGCTAAAACAGACACACACACACACACAAAAAAAAAAAGAAGAAGCATAGACCCCGGATAGCGAAAAATCAGGCCGATGATTGAACACCAGCACCTCTAACAGCGCCCCCCGGGGAGCGCTACAAACAGTACCCCCAGAGCACCCGGGTGTCAATCTCGCAAAATGCGCATGCACCGTCACCAGCGCCTCAAACAGCCCCCAAACAGCACCTGCATCAGCACCCCAAATTGCATGCCCCCCAGCACCCAGCCGTCAACCTCGCAAATCACTTTCCCCTCTTTGTTAGAAGTTAGAACCCCTATAGCTCTCAGCTATCCTTGGTTGACGTTGAAAGGGGAGCAAAAACTTACATTTTAGCAGTTAAGTGGGGACTTCAACCACTCAACCACAATAAGCAACAATGTAAAATCTTTCCCAACAACAACCATTACCATGTATCTGGGGAACAACGCACACACACACACACACAAACACAAACACCGCAGCCCAAGGCCCCCCGCCGGGGTTAAGTCCTCTGCAAGCCTGCGGCGCAAGCGCAAGCACGAGCGAGCACTCGCGCCTTCCCGGCGTCCAACGCGAAAAAAACCGGCGTGTGCCGGTTGGGGGGGCCATGGGGCTGTGGTCAAAACCCGGGAAACCCTCTGGTGGACATCAAAATGCATGGGTGTTCGGCCCCAAAATGGGATCGGCATAGGTTAGGAGTGGTGGTCCAAATTCAGGACACCCACTCGTGAGCAACAAAAAAAAGTGGTACATGGGTGTTGCGCCCCAAACTGGAGGCATAGGTTAAGAGTGGTGGTCAAAAATAGGGAAGCCCCAAAATGGCGTGCCCGATCGGGAAGTGGAAACATGGACTAAGATCTGCGGTCCGATTCCTGGTGATTTAAGATTGACCCACACCCACATGGCTGTGGCTCAAAAATACTTTGGACGGAATCCATCTCGCGCCACCTAAGAAACCATGGTCAAAACTTGAAACCATTAGGTTCGTTGGTGTTTGCTGAAGAATCATCAGAAACCAGGGTTCTTGAGGTGGTGAAGCATTTCATCCAGCCACAATAAATTAAAAAAAAAAAAAACTGTAAATGGAAAGGACTAAAACCCGCGGTCCGATTGCTGGTGGTTTAGTTTGATCTATACCCACATGCAGCCAGTTGGGACTCTTGGAGTTCAACCGGTGTCGGAGCTTTGTGCAGTCAAAACTGCTGACATACTGTGGATGGACGAAATCCTGCACCAATTTGAAACATGGGAAACCATTGTTTGTTGGTATTTACAGGGGAATCATCATTCCAGGGAGTCTTAGGTGGTGCAGGATTTCGTCCATCCACAGTACCAGTACTAGTCTACATCAATGAAAACATCGAGACTTCGACATCCCCACCTGTCTGGCGTGTGTTCATGCTGGTCTGGGTCATTCGACCCAAGATCATTCCAGTTGTCAACTAGCCTTGGATTGGTTTTTCGAGTTGAAACCCTGCTTGTCTGCTTGGTGCCTAGCGTGAAAAGGGCCTCCAAGTCTCCAGGCCGCCAACGCAAACGGCAAGCTGAAACCTAAACACGCGCATTCAACTGGTAAGATAGCTGATGGAGAGCCCAGGCTGGTCCAAAGCTCCCTCTGGCACAGGAGCCTAGAGAATCCTAAGGCTTTTGCAGGGCCCTAGCTTCATCATGCTGTGACTTTCTACCTTGTCTAGGTGCTCCAGTAGAGAGGTTAGAATAAGGGTACCCACCTTTTTTCTGCAGTCTATTTTAGTAGGGGAACTCTCCCCCGAAAAAGTGTAAAAGGGCACTACTGGGGGACCTAGTTGTCGAGTCTCTGCCCCAATCTGTTTTGTCTGATACAGCCCAGCACATCGCCTCAAGCCAAACTCCCACCACAGCGGAACCTGCAAACCAGGTAGCCAGCCTGGCAAAAACAAAAAAACACTGGCAAGCAAAAACATCTTAGAGGCGGGAAGGTAACTACCACACCCTGCATCCATGTGGCTGTGGTTCAAAATCAAACAGCTTGGGTTACGCAGGGTTTGGTCCAAGTTAGCCATTTTGGGTACAGCCGTGTCAAGTTCCCTGGTTCGTGGAAACATGGAACCAGAACCTGCGTCACCCACAGCCACGAACGAGAATCAGTGCCGCTAACAGTATCGCCATAACATGTTCAATATAATAGTCATTTTCAGAATTATTACTTGAGAAATCAAAGTATTGCTACTTGAGATCACACCTGGGGTTTTGGGGTTTTGGGTTTTGTTTTTTGGAGCCACGGCCATGTCTTAAGCTCCGAGGCATCACACCCTCCCTCGCTCAAACTATGGCCCCGGGCGGCCGCAGCAGGGATCGCTGCCTCGGGGCCTGCGATGGAAAACCCCAACTTGGGGTCCCAAGAATCCTGAGCCCCCGTTGCTTTGGCGGGGAAAAAGAAAGGACAACCAATATATGTTGTTCAAGTAAATAATAATAATAATAAAATGATGAGTGGTTTTTGTTTGCGATTTTCTCCTAAAGAAAAACGGGAAAATCCAAAAAAATGCCCTCTCTCAACAAAAACAGATGAGACAAACATGAGCTCAAAACCAGAACGCACCTGTATACATTGGTCCATACTTGAAGAAACACCCAGGTGGGTGCTGGAGCACGTGGAGTGGTGACCTTGCGGGCTACTACAAGACTGTGTGCCAACTGTGAGGGATGCAGGAAAGACTCTGGAAATGAGCCTCTAATCCATGACACCTCCAATCCACGACACTGCCTAGACGTTCTGTTGAAATCCAACCCTTGATTACAAAAACTTGCCACGCGGTTGAAACCCTGAACATTGCAAGCAGGGAAGAATCATGTGCCCGTACCTGGCGAACCCCCTTTGCTTTGAAGCTCAATTCACGCGTTTGTTGAAGTCTTGGTCCGAAGCTTGTGTCGTCAAGAAGAGCAACAACAGACGATATGGCCGAATTCGTGCAGTATTTCCCGTGCATGGCACAGTTAATCTTGCCAGGCACAAATATCTTGTCCTATGATCCACGACATGACCTTGACAGAGCAGCGCCAGGTTGGTTTTGATACCAGTTGGTTTTCCATATGACGGGCGCCCGTGCGCGACCGCCCTAAGTCAACATCCCTCAGCGAGGCGATCAATTCAACAGGTGAGTTACAACAAAGGTTGCCCCACGAATAAGGGGGGGCCACAAGGCAGGCCCCTCTGAAGCGCAATCGCAGGACACAGCTGCGGGTGCGCGAAATGTGGAAAGAGCAACGCCGTGAGAGCCGTAATTGAAGATCCGGGCATCCTTCCGTCAGTTCAAGACGGAATCTCAACGAAAGCACTAGATTGATTACGCGGATAAATTACATAGTGGCATGAAGCAAACGCGAAAACCGTAAACATGACACCGCTAGTTTTATTGTATCATGCAGGGGACAACCCAAACACTTCATTCATTCTGCCCCACAGAACCCTCAAGCATTTGCCCCCCATCCAACCGCCCCCCCTCTTGTGCGGAGCGTACCCGGCGAATGGCCAGTGTGACCAGACCTGGGCAGAGATGAGCAAGCTCAACTCTGGGAAATTTTGGATAATGGTGTCAAACCAATCTGGGTGCTATCTGCAAGTTGTCTGAGAGACATTTTCCAGGTGACAACAACTTGGGCCTAAAACATCACCAATCCGACAAAACCTACTGGCCTAGACCAATTCCAATGGGAGGACAGCATCGAAACAAACCCGACACCTGTTCTGGGATCTCCAAATTGCAGGTTAGAACCATGGTCTTCAAAAGAGACACTCACCCCGTTTATCCTAAATACGGCAAGGCACAATGCCCAACGGGTTGATCCTTTAAGAAGTCCTCAGAGTAACATGAACCTCCTGCTGCCTGGCACAAGTGCCATTGCTCTTTCCGTAGGCCACCCGAAAGCCTGAATAAACCTCTGGCGAGGTCTCTCAGGTCACAGTCTCCATTCTCCATTGGATGAGTGCACCTTCTTCCATGACTCCCTTCCCGTTCCCCCTCAAACATTCGCCACGGAGAATCATAGCTCCTTGGCCAAAGTGCAACTGCGGCAAAAAAAAAAAGAGGAAAAGAAGACAACTCTCCACTTGGTTAATGTTGATCCCATTAATAAACCCCAGTTTATTAATTGGGGGTGCCCCTGGGTTTAGTGAAGGATTCATCACTTCTGAACCTTTGGAGAGGCCCCCACCCCCTATTTATTCATCCGAGGTCAACATTCAGCTCTTCGACCTGGAGCACTCACCACGCCCAACCACGCCCCAGGTTTAAAAAGAAAGAAAGAAGAAGAAGCAGTAGAAAACAACTAGGAAAAAAGAGAAAGAGACAAAAGAAGAGAGAAAAAACTGGGGGGGGAAAAAACGAACTGAAGAGAACTGGGGGGAAAACACCACGAACTGCTCCACCCGCGAGTGACAGGTTCACGCACCCCGACGCTCGCGTGTCGCCCGGGCGCCCACGCCCGCGAAGGACCCGAAGACGGCCATGCCGGCGACGAAGGAGGCGGCCAGGTCCTTAGGTGGATCTCAGCGAGCGAGAGACGCCCAGGTTCCTCTGAGCCAAAGGGGTGTGGCTCTTTTTTGAGGGCAACCCGCACCCCCCCCCCGAAAAAAAGAGAAAGAAGGCGGAATTCTTGGGTGTTCCTGTTGGTGTCCCTTGAAAACCGCCAGAAAGACAGCAACGGAGAGATTCTTATGGGAATGGGAAGCCCATGGCCCAAAGCATGGGCCCTTCTGATCCAGATCTCACTATCCTGAGCAATATCAGTGCGCATGGAGAACCGCCGAGTCTTGTGGTGCACTCAGCAATATTCCCAACAAAGTGGAAGTCTCTGCGGTTTGAAGCTTTCAGCGGTATCAGTATGACTCGGGGTGCCACACCGCATAACGTATGCCATCACATCATATTTATTCATACCATGGCTCCATGGCGTGTCTTGCACATATACACATGTATGCGCATATATATATATATATATATAATACGTTATGCATATGATTTATTGTCGAGGGGTCCGTGTCAAGCATTGGCATTGTCGGCGCCTTCCAGGAAGGTATAGGATTGGCATTCCAAAGCCAGGGCGCTCGCTCAAGTTTTTCCGTTTTGAGCCCAGCTCAATGGCTCATCCGACGGGCTTGGAACTTGTGGAGGTGGAAGGACGTGTGGAGGTTGGTTGAGCTCGGAGTCTCCCGATGTTCGTCGACTCTGCCATCGGCTCATTTCTAATGCGTGTTATGGTCAACCAAACAAGAAACCATTCCACTGACCCTAGTTGGGTGGCTCGTCTTCTTTTTTGGGGGGGGCACGGCTTCAAAGAAAAACCAAACAGAAAACCAACATTTTGGGAGAGTGGCCCCTGGGCTGTCATTGCGGCTGTCTTACGCCTCATTTTTTATTAGGGATTCGATGTCCAGCCCAAGACTCCCTTGTTTGACTCCCTTGTTTGACTGCCCCTGCTGAATTTTATTGCGATTGCGTCAATCAGGGTGAGGACCCACTGCCAATAAAGCCCACCCTTCAGCTTTTCCCCCATCTGTGACTCTCGAAGCCCGGTGCGCATGGTCCGAAATTTCATGACCAAAACCTTCTAGCAACAGGTTTTCGAGAAAACCAACATGACTCACATGAAGGAGAGGTCCAACTACCGTACTTCTGATTTCCGGGTGCCAGTGGGACGCAATTTGGTCGTCAAGAACCTTGGGTGTTGAACCCACCGGCGATTTGTTCGAGCCCAAAACGCCCACCTTGCACCCATCCATCCATCCATCCATCCACATATACACACACACCAAAAAAGAAAAACAAGTCCCTGCCCCCCTGTCTAGGTCCTCCAGTAGAGAGGTTAGAATTCGGGTACCCTTTTCTTCTGTAGTCTATTTTAGTAGGTTTGGAACCCTCCCAACCAAAAAAGAAACGGTAAAAGTTGGCACTGGGGGACCTAGAAGCGAAGAGGGAACTCCAAGCGGGGTGGGTTCCTGGTGAGTTCTGGGGTGGTTTGGCCTCGTTGCAATTTTGGCTCCGAGGCGCCAGGTGCCGGCGCCCCGAGGCGGCTTTCAGCTGGCCTGGGGCGACCGGTCGATGCGCCAGGGGGGCGCTCCTAAGAACAAGGCGGCTCATCCTTTTGGAGTTCAGTGCGGGGAGGATTCAGGTCCACCAACCACTTGAGTTCAACGGTTCCAAAATAACTCACAGCCAAATGGGGGTGTGTTTTGTGGAGTTGGTACTCTTTGTTCATTGGTTTGACCGGGAAACCAAAAGGAAAGCCGACAAATCCATTTTGCAGGGTCCCTGAGGGTTGTCGGGGTTCACTGGAAGTTCCCCAAACCGAGAGTTGATCAACTGACTGGCGGTGTCCATTGAAACGATCGCCACTTTGGGAGGTTCTGGATCAAGGGAAATTGAGGAACCCGATAAGAACCTAGGATGTTTGCAGGTACAGCATCGGCACCATGTTAAGAAATGACCAAGCTGACGCTTTACTCCTGGGCTTGGTCCACTTCGGCTTTCACCCTGGCTGTCTCTTTTGGGGCACAATCTGGGAAGAATAGAGAAGCTAAAGAGGCAGCAATCCCCATTGGGTTTTGTAAAGGCAGCGTACTCTGCGCTGCTGAAATGGGAGTTGGCTGGCGTGGGATCCACGCGGTTGCCCTGGAGTTTGGGGAGCAGTGAATTTAAGTGGAGAGCTGGCGAATGCCAAGTCAAAGTCTCATGGTCTCCTACCCACCGGTTGGGGGAAACATAACATATATATATATATACATATGTATGTATGTATGTATGTATGTATGTATGTATGTATGTATGTATGTATGTATGTATGTATGTATGTATGTATGTATGTATGTATGTATGTATGTATGTATGTATGTATGTATGTATGTATGTATGTATGTATGTATGTATGTATGTATGTATGTATGTATGTATGTATGTATGTATGTATGTATGTATGTATGTATGTATGTATGTATGTATGTATGTATGTATGTATGTATGTATGTATGTATGTATGTATGTATGTATGTATGTATGTATGTATGTATGTATGTATGTATGTATGTATGTATGTATGTATGTATGTATGTATGTATGTATGTATGTATGTATGTATGTATGTATGTATGTATGTATGTATGTATGTATGTATGTATGTATGTATGTATGTATGTATGTATGTATGTATGTATGTATGTATGTATGTATGTATGTATGTATGTATGTATGTATGTATGTATGTATGTATGTATGTATGTATGTATGTATGTATGTATGTATGTATGTATGTATGTATGTATGTATGTATGTATGTATGTATGTATGTATGTATGTATGTATGTATGTATGTATGTATTCATATCTATATATATACATATATGTGACACACAAGCAACAAGAGGGAACAACAAAGAAGTTGACACGTCCCCGGACACGGGAAAACAACTCCTCACCACATTCTACCGGAAAAAGGCCCCCCGCTGATCAGCTGGAACTTCTCCGCCAGCTCCGCCGGCTTGGCCTCAGCGAAATTTCGAGTCGAATAACCTGCTTCTTCTTCCTGTCAGGGATGTCCTGGTGGCTGGGCAGAAATTCCTAAAATCCTCCATTTGCTTGTTCGGCCCCTAGAAAAAATGAAAAAAGTATGTCCAGTAGTGAAATCGATTCCCTTTAACACCAACAGGGGAAAATAAAACATGTTCTTAACCAAATGGAAGGCTTTGGGAGTGGCTGCGACATTTGGGCGGCGCGTCCTTTTTCCCCCAGCTGAAAGCTACTGGGTCTCTGCCCTAAATAGGCTAGATCAGGGTGGTTTGGGGCAGCTTTCACGGAGGGTTCCAGGTGCTCCAGGGCTGTTGGGGATACCACCTGTGCCTTCTGGCTTTTGGAGGGAACCCCCTCGGTTCATTGGTTTGAAAGGGAAACCAAGAGGAACACCGAAGCCATTTTGGGTGAAAAAGGCAGTCTGATTTGGGCTGTCCAAGCTGATCCGCTGCTAAAAGCTTTTGTTGTGGGTTGAATGGAAACCCAACCACTAAACCAACTAAAAACCGAGAAAAAAAATCGCCAGGAACCGGATGGCTGGGAAACGAAACGCCACGTTGTGGAGGGCCGGGTGGTTGCCAGTTGAGCCTGGGAAATCCAAGTTCGCCAGGGTTACGAATGGAAAACAAAGGGCCCAAGACAATGTTTTGCCTTTGTTGTTTGGTCGTTGCTTTGAGACTCGCAGCAACCCTGCTGTTCTTGAGAACAGTGGGTATCTGGATTGGAGCGGAATAGGGCAATCTGTCAGCCTCTCACCACAGTTGCGACTTGCTGCTGGCACTTCTATCACCATCATGCGCATGTAACAACCTCAAGAACCATGCTCCCCAGTGTGCCTGGCACGGATATATGTTCTGGGCGCATTGTGTGTTAATCTGATTCTGATATGCACCTGCCACAGAATGCAGATCTCATTCATCTCCAAGGGCCCGGATGCCTGGAGCTTGGGAAGTGTCCAAAATCGGCCTATTGCTGAGGGAAGGAACTTGCCCGGACGGTAGCTTCTCACCGGAAATCATGTGGGACCATCCAGTCACTCTCACCAGATTATGTTGGGTCCCAAGCATGCGTGGAATCACAGGCACACCCTGTCATGGGGCGCGCTTCTCTTTGAGGGGCCCTTCTTTGTTCCATATAAAAATGGCCATGAACTTTGATGGGGACCCAATAGGTTGGTGGACATAAATCCTAGATGATGTCCACCAATGGGTTGTCCGTTGCTTCCCTTTACAAGCCATCCAAAAGGATCACAAAATATCAGAGCTCCTTCCCATGTAGATCCCCCCTTCCCAAAGAGGTAACTCAGCATCCCTCACCCAAGCAGAATTTGGCGCCAAACATATGGCCCGTGCGGCGAAACGACCTTCCGGGAAGGCTGCCCAGAAAGCCCCGGTCGGTCGTGCGCGGAGCTCCGAGACTCCGGCCGCCTCTGCACCTGCGCGGCCGGGTGGGGCTTTTTTAGGTCCGCCCGGCGCCCAGCGAGGCATGGCAGGCAGCGGGGGCCCGGCTCGCAAAGGAGCGCTGGGGTGGGAAGATCGAAACAACTCAACACATGAAGTGGAAGCAATGAAAGGTGTAGGTTGGGAAGCTATACTCAGCACATGAATTGGAATCAATGAAAGTTCGCCAAGATGCCAGAAAAAATGTCAACAACCTTCAGATGGCCGCCTAAAAGCAATGCCAAACAGCTCACTCTCCTCAACGGCGGCCCGGGAAAAGCCAGCTGAAATTCAGAGGGTACCGTGACTTGCGGCATCTCTGAGCCCATCTTGACAGCGTCTAGGTAGAATTCAATATGATTGGTTGCCTGCCACTCATAACTGGTTGATTCGGTAGGTACCCTGTGTCAAACAAGGTAGCTGAGCCTTTTCGACCCCGATCCGATCTGCCTTCCTTCGGGGTTGTATCGACTGCAGTTGACAGTGAATGTATCAGATGTTTTCATCTTTGGGCCAGCTGCTTACCTCACTTCCTGAGTAGACTGGCCCAACAAAAGCAACCAAACTTTATCTATTTTCCACTAAAATGGTCCAAACCCAAAAAAACCAACCACAAAGTCCATGAATTGAGATACCCCGGCTGCCCACTGTGGCAAGTTGAAGCTAGCGCCTGCTCTCAGTTACCCTCGCGCCTGACTTCGCTTTGGCCTGGCCGCGAGAGCTACAAAAATGCAGAGGATCCCACGTCTCAGGCAGAATTCATCCCTTGCCCAAACCAACCTCAACATATGGGGAAATACAGGAAACTCGCGGTTCAAGCCAGCGTGCAGGCAAAATGCCCCAGTGAGAACTACTCACTGACTTTCCATTTGCTTGAATGCTTCTGAGTTAATTGCCAGTGTTGCTTCAGGGAAGATGAAGTGATCCGCGGCTGGAACCAGCAGCTCAACGATCCATCGAGATTAGACAAGCATCTTCTCCGAAACTAACCGAATCTTGTGGGTCACTTGCCAACCCGCAGCAAATCAGGAAACGATTTATTTGGGAAAACTTCAAGGCTAGGAAACTGACTTCCCCCTTGACTATAATTGCCCTCGATAGGGCCGATAGGGATATCTTTCTTCTGCAAGCCTCTGCCTCCGCCTTCGGTGAAGCGTCAAGAACCGCTCAAAAAGCACAACGGAGCACTGCACAAACGTTCAACCAACATAGGCCCTCAATGCATGAAATCGTTGGATGGCCTCAGAAGGCTTCGCAGAACGGGAGAGATCCCGGCGAAACCCACTCTTTTGCAGACATTTGGAATCCGGGCCGGAGGAGACTCTGAAGGGTAACGAACCCTCTAACCAACAGCCTACAGGCAGAGCATGAGCTGTGCTTGGCCTTATAACATCAAGGATTGCAGCACCTTCATCAAAAAGCCAGCACCTGTAGACTCCAACCCAGCTTGGCCCAAGGGAGACGTCCCGTGCGTTTCAACAAAAAATGTGGGGTTAAATGGACACCCCCAAACCAAGCCAACCAAAAAGCTACAAAAGCTAAGGACACCCAACCACGAAACCAACCAAGAAGCTAAAAAGCTCAGGAACCCGATGCCCGATGGCCCGCGTCACATCCCCCGGCCACATCCCCCGTGTTCCGCGCCGTGGCTTCCGCCAGCTCCAGGGACCGGCGCCGGTGCCGGCGGCCTGGCCGGGCTTCGGCTTCCCGGTTGGTTCCCCTTGAGCACCATGAAACAAATGGGTCCCTCAAAGAAAAACCGACACATAAAAAAAAAGGCACACACACACACACATGTGTGTGTGTATACATACATATATATATGTGATTCTAGAGGGGGCTCTGTTTAGGTCATGTTTGTTGGCAAGAGGCCAAGAGGCTCGCATATTTCAGGAAGAAATGATTGTTTACTTGAGATTAGAGGCCTCTGCACCCATCTCCCAAGTTCCTGGAGCTTCTGAACTTCTGAGTGGCAACGAGCTGGGATAACCTTTGCTTCGCGACCCTTTGGGGCTCATGGTCGGCGGCCTAACAACTGACCCCGCACTGAGTACCAATCGCACTTGATTCGAACAGCGAACAATGCTTTCAGAACTGTAGCTGAAAGATACTAGGTTTCTGACGAGCTGCTCCTGTCAAATTCTACCTTGCAAGCTTGCCGAAACGAGAACGCACGTATCTTGCCACTTGTCCAATGCCAATTATCCAGAAGAACCTTTTATGCAGCCTGTGACGAGGGATTTGGCAATGCCTCCTTTGTGGCCACACTTGCAACGCAAAGCATCCTCTTTGACGCGTGCACCAGGCGACACCTGCCATTCTGTGGTTCCCGACTTTACGCAAGAACACAGGGTCGAAATAAATGGAAGGGAATTAATGTGTAGCTGCAAAATTGGCCCTTGAAGTCGGCCTTGATACAACTAATAGGAGCCGTTGGTGACAGGCGTGATGCCGGTGATGGCAGTGATGCTGGTTTGGGCCCATTCCTGCTCAAAGATACCAGCTTCAATGTGATTTCAGCAGCGAAATAGCAGCATGATCACAGTGGATAGATTCTCGTGAAAACCCACAAAGGGGGAAAAGCCAAAATGGTTTCCCTCATTTCAGCCAAGGGACGCCCTTTTTGCGACTCCACCGAGTCGCAAATCGGGCGACGGGCGACGATGCCAGCGACGCGCACCTCTTGTGCCGCAGCTCTGGGAGCAGGAGGTCCATTCCGCCCACTGGCCCCTCGCCACGGAAGCATCCCACGCTCTTCGCATCGCGCGCGGAGTTCGCAGCGCGCAGAGTTCGCGGCGCTCGGAGAGAGCAGCGCTTGGAGAGAGCAACCCTTGGATATGTTTGGCAGGGTGGTTAAAGCCCACTTTTGATTTTATTGTTTGTTTTTTGATGTTTGTTTTTTTGCGAGGTGGTTTGAAGCCCACCTTTGCTTTGCGGGCTTCAAACCAAGGGAAGAGACCAACCAGAGGGACCATTTTAGAGGAAGTGTGGTTTTCAGGACCCAACTTGTTGGTTCGATAGGCAGTCCTGAGAAATGGGGTCGGGAATCCCCGCAAAAAGCCAGCCATCCGATTTGATTTTCTTCAAGGGAATCCCCGAAACCGGTTCATTCCCAACACCCGGAACGGTCATTGGGCCGCCTCCCCAGCATCACCGGCCTCGCTCGGAATAGGGCTGCCTATTGGCTTTGATTTGTTGGCAGTTCAGAGTTGCTCCGGGCTTGTTTCGGGCGATTGTTGGGCTTGATGAGGTCTGACCCTGCTTTGCGTTCGGGGGTCAGAGAGCATGCCTTTGATTGCAAAAACATCCAAAAACCTCTTTGTGAGATCGAATATCCTAGCAGGGGGTTCAGTCGAGGTGCCCCAGCCGTTTGGGCGCACCCCTTTTATCTCAGGGTTTTACCGGAAGCCAAGGCTTCATGTGAGTCACAATCAAAACCCGGCACCAAAATCGTCGACCCAGAACCATGTGAAGAACTAAGAAGGCGGCCGCAGCTATTTAAAGCTATTTATGGCTGGGATCGTCCCTTACTAACCTTCACTTACCCGGGTTTTGATTGTGGCTCATGTGAGAAAATATCATCGAGGAAGCCGTGCCCTCTGTCTGATGGCCCCTTTGATTTGAGCAGACCACTTTGTCAGCAGGCAGAGGGAAAACGCGCAGCAGCCTGCAGCGGCAACATGTCGTCGAAAAGACTGCTCAATTGACACCTCCATCCGTGCTGCATGGTGGGTTGATTCGAAAGATCGGGCTTCCACGTCAAGCAAAACATGGGCCAATGGATCTCCTTGGGGTGAGGCTTAATTTGCCGATCCTTTGCAAAAAAAAATGTGACTCCCTACATCTCCCTACCCGCAGACATTGTCTTCGTGTCCGACGTGGCCCAGCGGGGACTTCTCTCTGGTTGATGCTCTCCAGGTTTTGAGGGTCGCAGAAACTGCTTGAGATGGTACGGTCGACTACCTGTGGGCGTGTCTTTTTGATGCCTTTTTGGTGCGGTGCCAAAGGGAAACCAAAATTCGAGATGACCATTTTTCGTGCCCCCAAAAAAGCAAACCGCCAACCAGAGCCTCTTTCTCTTGCGGCAATTCAGGACACCCCGGCGAAACCGAAGACCCGAGAAATGTCCAGAGTTCCGTAAGGCACGGGCCAGCTGCAGTAGTAGGTCTTGTCCTGCGACCCAAAGGCTTTGCCGGAGGCCCCTCCCGTCGCCCGTAGGTTCAGACTAGGTCCTAGTTCTCCACAACGGATATGAGGCGACCTAGTCTGCTGGACATAGTTTATTCTCGACCTAAGTCTGCTGGTAGGACTTGTATCGGGGGCGCTTAGGGTCCATTTTGCAACCTCCTTTTAGGGCGTTGGTATTTTAGGGTTCAAGGCTACGGTCCATGGCACCCCCTGGTGTTCAGGTGAAGTGCGAACGACAAGGCAATCAGCTTCAAATTGAACGTCCAGTCAGGTTCCACCAAGACTGCCGCGGTTCCAGCTGTTGCAACCCAACTTGGCCCCCAAACCTGCCTGTTCGCAGCAAGAAAAAAAACAAGCATCCTGATCAGGCGACGTCCGCTCACAGCAGGAAAGGGATCTTGTTTTGATCTCTGAAGTTGACGAAGCCAAAAGTCACAGCCTTAAACTGCGAACAAGATGTGTGTGGCGCGTGAATGTCCTTGCAAGTCAACCTCTGAGGCAGGTGTTCAGATGACTTCCCGACTTCAGTTTTGATGACTTGGAGGACATCTGAGGCTTCAAATCCCCAAGATTCAGAAGCCTTCGCAGGTGTGCAGATGACTCATGCCCCACAGGCACCATAGCCTTGCGAGTTTTTGCAATCACGCTGGTAGGAATTCCCCCCACGGGATACCTGGAACTTGCGAGAAAACCGCTGAAGAAGCCAAACAGCATGCCAGCCACCGACAGGAATGCTTAGACGCGCCATTGAAGTAGTTGCCACCAGTTGTCATTCAAGCCATGCCTTCAGTGGCTGGGAAGCAGGGAAAATGTTGCATGCGAGCTCGGCAAATTCTGCAAAAATCGCCCAGATCGGGCCCCTGTCCCCGAAATATGGGGCTTCTTGGCTTTGTCTCCATTGCAACATATACGCGCACAGATACTTCAATTTACAATTTCTTTGCGTACCTGGATCGACAGGCATGGTTCCCAACCTGAAGTATTTGAGGAGCCAAACACGGCGGTACCAAGATGCTGCCTTAAAAAGGCAAAATAATCATACGTGCCTGCCTGTTGTAAGAAGCCTTAAGCGAACGAGGCTTGTTGCCAGGTCTTTAACTTATTTATGGCCCATGCAAATGGCGGAAACAAACAAAAAGATGCGCCCAAGTCTCGAAACAGCTGGCAAACATCTGAATCAAGCTCGGGACCCTGTTCAACGGTGGGGATTCCCTCTGTCGACTTTCATTTGGTTTGTCCTTTGGAACCATGCAAAAAGGAGCGGTTCCAAGTGGTTGGGTTTCTGGAAGCTCCAAATGGCTCCAAAAGGGGCGTTTCCAAGTGGTTGGGTTTCTTGAAGCTCGCAAAAACCGGGGTTTGGCGCGATGCGTCGATCGAGTTTTTCCTCCAAAACCCCCTGCTCCCCACCCCCCCCTCCGGCGCCTCGCATAGCCGGGAGCAGGCCTGCGTCTCCGTGAGGTTGCCTCAGACAACAGCTGTAGGCAGGTGTCAGGGTCCGAATACCAAGGAACCGCACCTCCAGGATCCTCGTTATTTTTGGGTTGGTCGTGGATCCCTCGCCAGCATTCACACGTGTATATAGAAATAACTCCGAACATACGAGTGTATGCATTTGGGTCTATACCCGTCAAGAGTTCCAGCTCGGCGGATACTAGCGCTGGGCGTATGGCACGCGTTTGTTTCTTCGGTGGTGTTCGCGCTGCCCAAAGGGGAATTCACGGTCTTTCTGAACAACTTGGGCTGACCGGTTCTGAGTTGTTGTGAGCCCCCAACTGCCAAAAACAATCCTTTGAACATAGGCCGTGTGAAAGTTCTGCACAACGCCTTGTAAGCCAAATGCGTTTTCCAAGGCCGGGAATATGCATTGTCATCGATGTAGCTCCTGTCTGTGGGCCAGGGAGAGCTGACTGCGTGGCGTCCTTGAAGAGATGCAAAAATAGGGTGCAACAGCTGCTTGAGGACTCCAAATTTGTCTGCTAACATATGGGAGAAGAAGCAAAATCAGACCCTCAGAGCGATTGGCATCCCTCAAGCTGCCCTTCAAAACTGGGCTGTCCAAACTGATCCCCTGCTACAAGTGTTTAACTTTTAGTGGGTGAAATAAGTGGCAACCCAACCACCCTAAACACCAACCAAAAAACCACTAAACACCTTTTTGGAACCGCACGATTCGCCGGGAAAGCCGCCAAAAACCGGTAAAAAAGCAGGAAAAAAGCAGGAAACAACAGTAAAAACACACGAAACCACACACGTGAAAACCAAGAAAACGACCGCACCAAGCCAAGCCAAGTTGAGCCCCCGGCCGTGGCACGCCTTCCCGAGGCCTGCCTGCCCGGGTTTCCCCCAAAGTCTCCCCGGTCCGGCGTCGCGGTTTTTCGGTGCGGCTCAGCGGCCTATTGGGTGTCCGCTACCTTTTTGAAGGCTTGAAGTGGATTGTCGTAGCAAACCTCAGCTAGAACCGACCACCGAAAAAAACCATCTTAGGCAAGTGGAACTAAGTGGAACTAAGTGGAACTAAGTGGAACTAAGAATTCCAGGGAACGCCTTAATTCTCGCGACAACCTACCGCTGGCTTGCGGCTGCAAAATCCCAAGCCCCAGTTCTTCGAGGCGATCCGAATCGAGCCATGCAACTCCAGCCGCCTAGCTGCACGAAAATTTGGTGGATCTCTCGTCCAGTCAATGCTCATCTCAATGCTTCGAAATGCTCGAGTTGATAGGTGGTGATGCTCCGGAACCAAACGGCACGTGCATCAGCAAGGCAGTGCCCAGACCTGTGAATAAACCAGAAGTGATAATGAGACTGGGCGCCATGTGCAACACAGCTATCAGCATCTGTATATGTTCGGATTTGGGTGATCAGAAGTGTTCTGTTGCTCACCTTCACGGATCAGCCCGTTGATTCACGGATGTTCTCCCAAAGCCCGATACGCTTCAAGCGTCCCCTAAAACAGCCAGTCTAAGACTTCTCCAATGGCAAGAAGCCGGACTTCAGAAATGTGGCTGTCTTTTTTGGCCTGTTTTGGTGGTTTGTCAAGGAAAACCAAAGGGAAAACCCACCATTTTGGGGGGGGGGTCCCCCAAAAAAAGAGGGGGTTGCCTTTTTTGGGGGGACCCACAACATGGCTTCTGTCTTCCTTTTGACTTCCCTTTAAAGCCACGCCTAAAAGTTGCGCCCCACACGTGGACCCCTCCTTCAGCCCACCGACTCTGCGCGCCTGGGACTGCTTCACGTGCCTATGCCGCGACTGCTGCGCCGCAAAGGGCTCGCAGCCGTGCCAGTCCTAGCGAGCGCGGGGCTACGGTTGGAGAAATTCGGCGCGAGGTGAGAAGCTTTGCGCATGTTCTGCGCAAATACATCCAAGGGATTGCGTGTTGAAACTTTGTGGGAGTGCATGGTCGCTTCCTCCGATGTGTTTTTGGACTTCTGCTTTGCTTTTGGATGCAAGTGTGGTACTTCAGCTTGTTTGTTTGATAGTTTGTTTATTCGATTGCTTGTCTGTTTGTTTTTGATTGCTTGCTTGCTTGCTTGCTTGCGTGCGTGCGAGCGTGCTTGCTTGCTTGTTTGCTTGCTTGCTTGCTTGCTTGATCGATACTTTGATTGCTTGTTCGTTTCTTTGATTGCTTGGTTGTTTGTTTGTTTGTTTCTTTCTTTCTTTCTTTCTGTCTGTCTGTCTGTCTTTCTTTCTGTCTTTCTGTCTGTCTGTCTGTCTGTCTGTCTGTCTGTCTGTCTGTCTGTCTGTCTGTCTGTCTGTCTTTTTCTTTCTTTCTTTCTTTCTTTCTTTCTTTCTTTCTTTGGTATCGTTTCGTTCTTTGTTTGTTTGCTTGGTTGCTTGCTTGCTTGCTTGCTTGCTTGCTTGTTTGTTTGTTTGTTTGTTTGTTTGTGTGCTTGTTCGTTTGTGTGTTTGCTTGATTGTTTGTTTGTTTGTGTGCTTGATTGTTTTTGGGCTTGTTTTCTTTTTTGTTTGTGGTTTGTGGTTGTTTGATTGTTTAGATTGATAGTGGGTCTTTGTTTGTTTTTGTTGGCGCTTTTTATTTGTTGTTCTTGTTGGATTTTGCATTTTTTGTTTCTGGCTGCTCATGTGTTTGTTTGTTTATTTGTTTGGTTTGGTTTGGTTTGGTTTGCTTTGGTTTGGATTTGCTTGGCGAGGTGTTGGTTGTCTGTTTGTTTACGTGTTTTGTTTTTGCTTGCTTGTGTTTGTTTGTTTGTGGTTGCTTGTTTGTGTTTGTTTGTGTTTGTTTGTGTTTGTTTGTGTTTGTTTGTTGGTTTGTTTGCTTGCTTGCTTGATTGTTTTTTTTTGTGTGTGTTTGCTTGTTTGTTGTTTTGTTTGTTTGTTTGATTGTTTGATTGTTTTATTGTTTGCTTGCTTGCCTGTTTGCTTGCTTGCTTGCTTGCTTGCTTGCTTGCTTGCTTGTTTGTCTGTTTGCTGGTTTGTTGGTTTGTTTGTTTGCTTGCTTGCTGGCTTGCCTGTTGTCTTTTTTGCTTGTTTGTTTGTGTTTGTGTGTGTGTTTGCGTATGTGCTTTTGTGTGTTTTGCGCTTAACGTGAGAAAAGCGCATCATGATCATCAATATCCTTTCGATTGTCTCTCTGACGCAAATACCCCAATTCCCTAGAGCTATGCGATCACATGCCAAGCACATCAGGCATCAACGCCTTATGAACACCAATTCCAAAGAAGCATACTTTCCCTCTAACCAAGAAGCCCACTACCCAACCACAAAAAAAGAAGAAAAAAAACAAGAAACAAGAAACCAGTTGCAAAAAGCTCAGGGATTTTTTTGCAAAATCCTGTCTTTGGGTGGGTGTTTCCTCTAGAACATAGGTGTCCTTTTAGCTTTTAGGATAAATAGATAGTTCTGGTAGATGATTCAGCCACCAGGTAAACCAGGGCCAACGATTTTTCTACCGAAACAGCTAAAAAGGACACCTATGCTCTAGAATGCTAAAAAGGACACCTATGCTGTAGAATTTCCAGCAGGCTTCGCGCCTCCCAGTCGCTGAGCAGGCAGTCCCTGGCCCATTGAGCATGGAATGTCAGCGCTCAGTACAACCATTTTCGGGTTGGTTTGAAGGAAACAAACACGTTTAGACTCGACAAACCACATGTGGGTGGGCTTGATGTCAAACCACATTTGCGTTTTTATTTCTATCGGGCGCAAGACATCTCATATGCGATCTGACAGCAATCCCCGAAAAGCCTCTACAATGCCTGGGCAGCAAGGCTTGGTAAAGCCGTAGGATTGGATCTCGTAGATATCGCTGGCTTGATCCCTGCAGAGCAGCAAGCGGCTACATGAGCTACAGCAGTTGTTTGCTATATAGTTGAATGGTCGGATCTCCACCCCGGCACACGTTTGGACTCATTGGCCTCTGTTCCAACGCTGCAGGTGTTTCTAATTCCAACCACCCATATGGCAGAATCCCACCTTGCTTTGGGGGGTGTTCCTACCCCGTCTTGCACCTAACTCAGCGTGTTCGCCAAAATATGCCTCTGCCCGAGCTTACCGGAGTCTTCAAGAAGCAGTCGCTCGCATGTGGCCCAACTCCCATGTGCTCCAGTTCCATGGCTCGAATGCCGAGACCGGCTCCGCCGTGACCAGCGCATGTCGGCAAACGCCGTGAGTTCCCGCCCAGACGATACTCCGCCATCCCGCCCAGAGGAAGACTTGAGGAAGACCTGTTCCGAGGCTCTCCGGCACCAAGAGCCTGCGGGTCCGTGGTGAAGCCGCAGATTCGCCCGGGGTAAGACGAAGACCATGGTAAAATTGCAGATTCGCCAAGGGATGCTAACCCATCTGGGTGAATCATAATTGTATTTCACCAACCTGATATAAGGTGGTTGGGGCTATTCCCCACATAAACCACCATTTGGGTTGAGGTCGCTACAATTCACCCAGACCCATACCACGTCCGCACTCGCCACCCTCAAACAAACCCCTGAGCCTCTCGAGGATCTCGCACTCCAGGCCCGCTTGGCACTGCTGGACCTCCTGATCCGCAAAAACTTTGGGTTGGAACGCCACGTACTCACTTGCCCCTGAGTAACCTGGAGATACAAGGCTTTTTCATTCCACAATATGGAAAGGCCAAAATATGGAAAAACGAAAAGGTCAAAGGTCGGCTATGGACAAAAATCAGCTTGCAGTGGGGGTTCTTCCGACAGGGGCCAAAGCCCGGGGCCTGGCAACTTGACACATCTGAGGAAACCACAGTTGAACAGGGATCCGGATGCATTATACACCTGAACATTGCAACTTGTAAACGGTGGGTTCCAACTTTATTTTGGTGTTGAAAAATTGCAAAATGGAGATCTTTTAAGGAGCCCTGTTGAACCGTTGCAATTTGGAGAAGTGGGCGGGTCACAGATCCTTCAGCAGAATTTTATATGGGAGCATCGGGTGTCTAACGCCTAGCCAAACAAAAACGGTAGGCCATGGTTGGTCGCGAAGGGAGGAGCCATGAGCAGTCAACTCCAACTGCACCTGTTTGTCTTTAAAACCCCTGTACTGGCACCGAAAATCGACGGGAGGGAAGCTGCCATTTGCTTTCTCGCCCCCTGAAAAAAAAAAAAAAAAAAAAACGAGAAAATAATAATAATAATAATAGATTTCCAGTAGTACTAGATTCCAACTTTAAAACCACCAGGTTGGAAAAAAAAAAATCAGCAAAGATCGAAGGAAGGCAGCGCCCCTCCGATGGCGGAGGCTCCTCCAGCGGGTACTGGCACGCCTTGCCGCCGAAGGCGGGCTGCACCGCCACTTGCCGGTGCCGCACCTGGCGCGTCGCTTGTCGCTGTCTGAAGCTGAAGCTGGCTGGGCCCACGTCGTGGGTACCTTCACCAGTGAACCCAGTGAACCCAGTGAACCCAGACCCAGTGAACCCGGTTGAAAGTGTCATGGCCCTGAACCTAGGGGTAACTTCCAACTTCCAACCATTTCCAGGGATCCTTTTAGAAAAGCCACCAAAAAAAACAACTAAGGAAATGGCGATCGGCTTTCGAAATGAACGATGGCTGAAAAGAATGGTTGGAATCAACCCCTAGGCCTTTGGTCAGCTTCTTCCAATCAAATCCTCCCGGTCTCGACATATGGTACATGTCTTATCAAATGCGGATGTCTTATTCAATACAAAGAAATTGCCGCCAATCAAGGGGCGTCCTTGTGGAATAGTTGCGGCCTTCGCGCAAGTCCGGGCCCTGCATCCTAAGACTCTGCCTTGGGAAGTGTCACCCACAAAGGATATGCTTCCGCATTTGTCTGTCAAACCACACAAAACTCAGTCATCCGCTAGCCTCGCAGCGTGATTTCTATAGGCAACCTCAATAACGCTCGAATGATACACTGCTTGGGCGAAAACTGGGGGGGGGGGGTGTTATGGTGGGGGTTGCAACGTCAATCGCATTGCTTGCTCAAGTTGAAATCCGGGAAGTCTTCCCAGCTTTGATGGTTCACACAGCTACCCTTGACTGCCCATGACACCCCGTAACTCCTGGCGGACAATCCAAGACATTTTGGGGGATGGGATGTGCATACCTCACAACTCCCAGTTTGGCGATGAGTGGCAACTCCAGTCAATCTTTGAGGTGGCAATTGATCTGGTTCCGTGATCTGCCGCGAAAAGTCGCAGCAACAACGGATTGCCTCTGTAAGTTGCAGATTCTCCAGTCTGCTTGAGGTTTCAGATTGCGAACGAAACCCCAATTTGACCATAGAAATCAGGCAAATTGCGACCGCAATTTGACCCTAGAAATCTCAACTTGAGCTTCGTCGCTTTTCACAGGTCAAAATGGGCATCTAACTTGTCGACGTCGCCCGTGTCAACCAATCCAACGTCCACCCCGTCCCATCTTCGCGCCAGAAGGATTCCCGCCTGATGGCCCACGCCGCAGGTGGTGGAGCAGCTGGACCTCGCGCATGCGAGACCAATTCAGTCAAACTTCGCCATCAGGAATCGGACCGCAGGAAGTTTCGTCCATTCCGTTTAGGGTTCTGTTTTGGCCAGCCATCCAGCCAGCCAGTAAGATGGGGCGCAGGCCTATTGTTGCAGCTGGTGAGGAACTTTGATGGGCTGTGGGTCAAAAAATGGGGAAACCCTGGCCGGCTGGCTGGCTGGCTGGCTGGCTGGCTGGCTGGCTGGCGTGTCTGCTTGCTTGGCTGGGTTCTCATGATGTCTGGGAGTGGTGCGAAGCATGAAAGTTCATCACCTATCCTACCAAACTCTTCCGGCAACTTCACCTCACCAAGTTTGTTTGGCTCCTTTGCCCAACGCGCGCTAACCAGTCGCGTATCAGGTGCAAGTGATGTGCCCTTGAGGGCGGTTCTCGGCATCCTGCAGTTGCCTGCATCCCCTGCATTGCCTGCAGTTGCCTGCATCCCCTGCATTGCCTGCATCCCCTGCATTGCCTGCATGCCCTGCATACCCTGCATGCCGTGCATCCCCTGCATCTCCTGCATCCCCTGCCTCCCCTCATTTCCTGCATCCCCTGCATCCCGTGCATCCCCTGCATCCCGTGCATCCCCTGCATCCCCTGCATCCCCTGCATCCCCCGCATCCCCTGCATCTCCTGCATCCCCTCCCCTCATTTCCTGCATTTCCTGCATTTCCTGCATCCCTGCATCCCCTGCATCCCCTGCATCCCGTGCATCCCCTGCATCCCCTGCATCCCCTGCATCCCCTGCCTCCCCTCATCCCCTGCCTCCCCGCATGTCCTGCATCCCTGCATCCCCTGCATCCCGTGCATTTCCTCATTTCCTGCATTTCCTGCATTTCCTGCATTTCCTGCATTTCCTGCATTTCCTGCATTTCCTGCATCCTTCATCCCCTGCCCCTGCATCCCCCCTGCATCCCCCTGCCTCCCCTGCATCCATTGCATCCATTGCATCCATTGCATCCATTGCATCCCCTGCATCCCCTGCATCCCCTGCATCCCCTTCATCCCTGCATCCAGTGCATCACATGCATCCCCTGCATCCCCGACATGCATCCTGCATCAAAAGCATCCCCTGCATCCCCTGCATCAAACGCATCCTCTGCATCACCTGCATCACAGGCATCATATGCATCATATGCATCACTTGCATCACCTGCATCACCTGAATCACCTGCATCTCTTGCATCACATGCATCTTGTACACACACTCCAGCTCCCTGCACCGGGATACATGATACATCATGCAAAGTGTTTTCCCGTCTTTTTCAGCATCATCTCCCTGCTTCAATTCACTGGCACCCCGATGGCTGGACTTCAGCATAAGACTGTGGTCAGTGACCAAGCAACCATGAAACCTATATCTCCAGGCCCGGTTTTCACCTTGGCCAAACGAGACCCAAGATGGAAAATCGCAGATGCAGATCCCATGGCTGAGAGATTCCAAACTCCACCCTTACCCGTCCCTGGATGGGATCCAGGCCACTCGCTGGGGGGCCACTGCACGCAATCCACGGGTGCCTGGAGCAAACGTCGGCAAGCGGTTTGCATGGGTGGAACTTTCTGGAAGTTAAACAAGGGTCACTGGATTTTCCCTCCAAAAGCTGAGCAATTGACTCGCTTCCTGAGCAGATTGGCCGAAAAGGGGTCAAATGGGTGGCTCGGCTTCTTATGAGGGAACTCATTGGTTTGAAAGGGACACCACGAGGAAAACCGAAGCCCCCTAAAAAAGGACAGACGCATGTTGGAGGGACGGGTTGATCACTGGATTTCCCCTCCCAAAGTTGATCAATTTACTGGTGGGTTCCATTGATTTGATCGCCACTTTTGGAGGTCTTGAAAGGAAAATGGAGCCTGTGAAAGGCTGGACAAGAACGTGAGTCTCGACGTGCATGTGTCAGCTTCGGTCAACTTCCTTGTTTTCCAGCCCACAATGGTTTCACTTCCCAACCGCAAACCAGAGGCGGGCTGGTTGGGCGCCGAGATGCACAGGTGCAAAAATGGGAAATCTCCGGAGGCTTCGTTTCCAAAAGTCGCCTTCGTTTTACAGCCCGATTTTCGGACAGCATGGGCAATGCTATCATGTACACTGAATTTGCTCGCCCCTTGAACGGAGCTGCACCCAAACCAAAGGATGATTAAGATTAAGAGCCAAGCTTTACGTCTCGCAAGGGCTGCTGGAGCACTGCGCTCTTGTTTGCGTCACAATTTTGATTTGACAAAGACGGGCTGCCAACCCTGAACAGTGTGTGTGTGTGTGTGTCCCGTCCAAAATTTCCGCAAATCCAACAACGACCCAAGGAAAGTCCGGTTCAATTTGGCAGGATTGCATGCCAGCTTGGCATGGGCAGCATTTCTATCATACGAACTCAAGAGGAGGTTCTCGCATCACTAGCGCTAGTGGGGATACCGGCAGCTTCCAGTATCTGTCCATGAAAAACTGCCCCACACCCAAAACCAACCTCAAAACCAACCTCAAAGAGAAATGTGGTTGGAATGTCAATACGGAAACCCTAAAGGTTGGTCGCATGAATCCGCATGGCAAATCATGTCCAAAGAGTCCAATCAAAAACATCACGACAGCCCGTTTTCTCCCTTGGTGGATATACATTTCCGCTCATTTCTTTCGTAATACTTCATATCCAAGCCCCCCCCTCCGGCACTTGCCGCACCCAGCGAAGCGCACGCTCGCGCTCGTGAGGTGCCGGGCCCCGCTGATGCAACCCATGGGCGGGGCGTGATCCTCCGGGCTGGGGTTGCACCTGGCACGCGCGCGGTGCACGGAACAGAGGGCGACAGGGAACCCAGCGGGGGGTGTCTTTCTTTGTCTATTGTTGGTGGCTTCATAGGGAAAGCAATACTGTGGATGGACGAAATCCACTTCGCACCACTTGGAAACCATGGGAAGCCATTGTTTGTTGGTAAGAAGCAGGGGAATCATCATTCCAGGGTTTCTTAGGTGGTGCAGGATTTCGTCCATCCACAGTAGGAAAGCATATTTTGGGGGGGGCCACTAAACAAAAGACACACCCATGTGGGTTTGGGTCCCTGTAAATGCGGGGATGTTTGCACATGTCAATCGGCGGACGGGCTCAAATGGAAACCTACAGATAAAATCATCAATGAACGATTTCACCATTTGGACCCAATGGCAGAAAACACAAATGTCCCATACATGTTGTGTTTGTGAGAAACCTTTGGGAGGACTCCTTTCCGGGGGGGAGGAGCGCTTCACCAAAACGTGTTGACCCCCATCGCCCGAGGTTCCCATCAAAACAACATATCACAACACTCTACGAATGTAGGAGTGAAACCCAACACACCCACCATTTCCTTTGGTAGGGTCGGCACCTAAGAAACGAGCATCTAGCACACACACACACACACACATGGGGAGTCTAGAAGCAACACCTGCATCTGCACCTGAACCATCTAGGTTTGAACCACGGCATACTGAACTGGATGTCTGCGAATCCTCCTGTACAGTTTGAACAGGGTTGAGCCTATCGGACAACCAATGCAATGGCCGTTGCTCGGCCTGCGCGATGACCATTAACAGTGAACTGCCTCGTGCTATGAACGCTGGCCTCCAGGATATCCGTTTGTTCCTCTTGACTTCCTCAGAATGGAAGACAGAATGATTTTGGTGGGTAGAAGGCATCAACATCTTGGAACCACGCCAAAAGCTATGATTTCGACATCTGCGGTGGTTTCAGCAAATGTGGGCGCCCTTTGTCAATCCGGAGGAGAAAAGGACCCCACACAATAGCAATCAGAAACGATCATGATGCAGAGAATCAAATGGATGCACCCCTCGCTTGTTCCAAACAGCTGGCACGCTTGCCAAATCCAAGGAGGAAGCTGTTGGAAGAGGACATGCCGGTGTCTGTTCTAGGGTACCCCCCAAAAACAAAGAAGATGGTTGTCCGTTTGCCCTTCAAAACCACTAAAATCGGGGGCCGGGGGGGAAGGAACCCTGAAAATAAACTGACCGACTGTGGCGTCTGCAATGCCGCGGTCGGCCAAGCGAGCTGGCCTCTGGCTCTCCCCAATAGAGCCGACGCAGGGCTTCCCTGGGTCGAGTCGGTGGGATGGCTCTGGAATCCTCGTGGGCGCTATACATATATATATATACACATATATACATCTATACATATATACATCTATACATCTATACATATATACATCTATACATCTATACATATATACATATATACATATATACATATATACATCTATACATCTATACATATATACATCTATACATCTATACATATATACATATATACATATATACATATATACATCTATACATCTATACATATATACATCTATACATCTATACATATATACATATATACATATATACATATATACATCTATACATCTATACATATATACATCTATACATCTATACATATATACATATATACATATATACATATATACATATATACATATATACACATATACATACATACATATATATATATATATATGTATTAATACATACAGGGAAACCCTACTTCAAGAGGCAGGGTACTTAGCAAGTGGTCAATAAGCCTGGTTGTAACCCACTGAACGGAGACTGACAACCATGGTATTCATAAAGGTGTGGTTCCTTCTTTTAGGTTGGACCATGCACAAAACGACACACCCACGCAGGCAACCCTACGCACACCTGAGCAGCCCCACTGCATATGGGTGGCTTTTGCCGCCATTTTGGTCCCCTAAGAAAGAAGACAGACCCGTACTATAAAACACCTGAGCAGCCCCACTGCATCTGGATTGCTTGTGACCAACTTGGCTGTCCCTACTCGAAGCTTGCTGCATCAGCAAGCCGGACTCTTATGGTCTTGCCGCCTTTCTGTAATTTCCCTGCCATCTTCCCGCAGCTTTCCCGCAGTCCTCCAAAAGTCTTCCCCGATTCTTCCCGTGGTGTTCTCGCATTCTCGCCCTAGTCTTGGAGCAGTTCTCGTAGCATTCGCGAAGATGGGAAGGAAGCGGCTGTGCCAATTCAGCTGCTTCTCGCACCCCAGCAAAACTACAGGAAGGCTATGTGGCGGACGACACCTGAGGAGCTGCAAGCGGCGCAAAAGACTTTGCAAGCCCAGAGGGACTGCGAGACTGGTAGTCAACCACGAAACAACAAGACCACGGGAACACCGGCAAAACCTGCTTTGCAACATAGATCTTCCCGAAAGCTTCCGCGCAACGGGCATCTACACGAAACCTGAGCTTCCGCGAGGTCCAGCCTTGCTTGCTTGCGTTCCCCTATTGGCACCCCATTTCTCCGCTGTGGGGCTTTCGGGGCTGAATCCGGAAAAGAGGCTGTCTCCGACCCTTCGACACGATGTTCGATGCTCACCTAGGCTCGATTGGAAATCACACGTTGCTTTTCAAGGGTTGAAGAAAAACCATCCCGGAATAGTTCCCTCGGCAGGCACTTCAAGGAGGTAAATTGTTCAAAGCACTGCGCGGGTTTGTTGCACCACGTACTAGCCTGCAACATTGATTCATATCAAACAGCAAAAACTAGCCCCCCCTTCATCGTATCCTCAACGCAAAAGACTCCTTCATCGTAGGTGAGCGTCGAAGCCACCCCCCTAGTAGGTGAAAGGGAATCACTTCCCATTTTCTGACTTTGACAACCCCCAGAAACCATCAAAAGAACGACAGCAGGTTGGAACTCCTTACTTTCAGCGGTGTGTAGTGCCCCAAGTCTCGTGAGACACAGTCCAAATTGGAGCCCCAAATTGGAGCCCAAATTGGAGGGGTGTGCCACAACTCCTGGCATGCCACAACTGCCACACACAAAAAGGCAAGAAAACAACCTCCCCACTTGCCATGATTATAAGTCTCCTTTCAGTGGATCAAAACCGGGCTTACTAACCACTTGCCTGACGTACCCGATCGCCCCTTGAAGCAGGCTGATTGTCGATCTTCCCAACCCCACGGCTGATCATCTCCGGCTCCGGCTTTGATGGGATCGCGCCTCCGTAGGCGCCGTACTGCGCAATGGCCCGGGTGCGCTTCCGGTTCCCGTTGCAGCTGGCGCTGCACTCCTCCGCTCCGATGCCCCAAGAGCCGAAAGGAAAGGCCGGCTTTGGTCGTACATGCGTCGCCCTTGTGGCAAAACCCGTTTTGGCGGCTTGGGACATGGACACAGAAGTCTCTTCTAGGCTCCCAAAATGAGAAGAGCTCGTTGACATGCAAGTGCAAAGGGCTTCCTGACATGCGGGTGGCATCGAACGAGATCGCTAGACTTCCTCTCGAAGCTTTCGAAAAGGCAACATCGCTAAAGCAACGGGAACTCCATGAAGCCATCCTCGTAGGAGCTCGGTTGGTACCTCCCCCTTTCATCAGGGCAATTCAGCATGCGCTTGTGTGCTCACTAGGTCATGCCCTTTTTGAACAGTTGACAATGAGAATTAACCATTCGGTTGCTTTCTGCTCCCCTGCTAAAAGTTTCACTCTTAGTGGCTTCATGGAAAACCCATAAGTTAGAAAAACTGACTGCACACCAAAAGTGCATGAGTTCTTTCTCTTCAGATCGAGAGAAATCCGAATCGCATGGGCTCCCCCAAAAAAAGCGTGGGCAGGGTAAGTGGTTGGTCACATCAAGGAGGTGCTCCCAGGAACCTACTCCCTTGGTCAGGGTTCTCGCCGGGTGCAAGAAGAGGGGAAGAACGCATCCAAATGGCGATGTTCCTGTTGGTTTACCTTTACATGTCTGGCCCAGGCCAAGCGCCAAATGTTTTGAAGCGTCATGAAAGCAAGGCTCTCTTGTGCATTTGCTTGCACCAGGAACATGAAGACAGCTTCACGCAAAAGACACACGGCATCCAAGCTTCCTGCGCAAACTCAGGCTTAAAACCAATGAGTTCTTCGAAAAAAAACTGCCAAACTGGCTTGCCCTGGTAAGTGGAAACATGGGTATGGCTCAAAATTAAAGAGCTGGGGTTACGCGGGTTTTAGTCCTTGGTTCCATTTACCAAGGTGCCATTTTGGTACCACTTTTTTGAGCCACAGCCACATGGGTACCAAAACCTGCGGCTTGCCCCGATCGTCGAAGTTTGGAGCCACCCCCAATTCCTCAAACTTGGGTCCCCGGAGCCTCCCAGGAGGACCATCCGCCGAACTCGCAATCCTGGGCTCCCAGCCTCGGTCGGGAGTGGTCGGGCACCCCTCCGGGCGGGTGGTGTGTGCTACCTTCCCTTCCAGACCCTCCGATCCTGTGGGCGGCTGCGAGAAAAATCCATGTCGCGCCACTTTGAAACCAGAGCAAACCATGGTTTTGTTGGTAGGAAACAGGGGAATCATCACTCAAGGATTTCTTAGGTGGTGCAGGATTTCGCCCATCCACAGTAGGTAGGGAATGTGGGAATGAACCCAGCCTTTGGTCCCAAGGAAACAAAAGGAGATGGTTTGTAGGGGGCATGCCCTCATTCCCTGCTGAGCACCAGCAAGCTTAGTTTCCCTTTCAAGCCATGCAACAAGGGCTCCCCATTTTTGAGGGTCTGTCTTTTTTTGGGAGTTGGTAGCCCCCTTTGCTTGTGGCATGAAAGGGAAACCAAAAGGAAAACCGAAGCGGAACCTGTCCCGTAAGACCCCTCACAATCGTTGGTCGCGTTAGACGGAAAATGCGCAAGCTTTTGAAAGATGTCCTCCCCATGAAGCATGATCATGCACATCAACTTTGGCGATGGGAAAGAGAGACGCATGTAAAAGCATAAGCGCTTCGCCCTCCAGTAGGATCTCGGATTCCCCTTGCAAACCACTTGTCCTGCCGAGAAACTTGGGAAACATGCTGAGAAACCATGGCGTTCTTGCAGGGAATAGCACCACATGGGGGTGTTTTATTGTCAGGCGACCCCCCAACATGGTGTTCCTCTTGCGGCGACACCGAAATCGAGTGGCGGCAACTTCGCCTCCTGTTTCTGAATGCCACTGCCGCTTGTACCGCTCATGAATCTTCGAGAGGCCGCTGCATGTTGCAAACGATCGCCCTCGACGCTCCCCAGCTTTGCATGAGAGCGACTACACCTTTCTTGCAGCAAACTTGCAAACCCCTTGTCAAGGCGATGGGCATAGCAGGCCCCAAGATGCAGGGAAGAAGGTCGGAAGAAGTAACGAGCTGGGCATCTCTTGAGTGCCTAACTTGCGCTGATCACGTCAGCTTTTCTTTTGGGGCCGGCAGAACATCCTGTCCGGGTGACCTACGACCTCAGATCCGGAAACTTGAACTCTTCGGGATCTGCGCAAGATAATCACAGGCACACAGTGCGTTGGAACTGCCACATGGGAGCCGCCCAATCAAGCAGCAACAGACCGCAAACCAATATGAAACGAAATGGGTTGAATCAAAATAGAGGACACTGATGAACGGTCCGCTGTTTTGATGTTGTGATTCCCTTTACAAGCACTGGAAGTCATTACTTTGACCAAGTGAAAGGCAGGAGTCCGGACTTGTCACATATTCTCCTGTAGGTCTTGGGAAACAAATATTCTGCCTCGTTTCTTGTTCAAACCCGCTTCAACCTCTCTCTCAAAATGACCACATGCGGAGTAGGGCAAGCGTCGTCATAGTTCTGCCGCCACTTGTGAATAATTGCCTCAAGGACTTGCCCAAAGAAGAGTCTAACCCTTTTGGGGGTCATGACTCATGACTCAACAACGGGCCCAAAGAGGAACCCCCTCTTAGGTCGATTGATCAGGTCGACTCGCTGACTGAGAGTTCCCCCCAAAGCTTCAGCTTCACCTGGCACAGTCAAACACATCGAGGCCCTGGCTGACTCTCGCATTCCGCACTGGCCTAGGTCGGGCGGCCCGTGGGCCGGGCAAAGCGGCCCCTCTCTCCGTGCTGGTCGGGTGAGGCTTGCCCCGTAAACGGACCGAAATGTGTGCTCCACATGATTTGTGGGGATAGAGAAAAGGACGCATTTGCAAGGAAGCATCTGCCAGCCTTTCCGGGAAACTGCCAATGTGGATGCCAAGTGCTTTGGTTGGGCGGTCGTTGGTGGTCGGGCGGCTGTTGGGTAGGGCCAGTAGAACATGACGCCACCGCCATGACTCGGGAAGATTAGATTGGGGCGATTCACGCTGACAGGGCATTAGAAAGGTGAATCCTTCCCGGTCTTAGCACCAAAAGCGGGTGTTCTTCAGAAGCTTCCAAACATGTTCTGGTTCGTCAACACGAAGGCCAGTTGTCTGGCGCAAAAGTCTCGCAGCCTCTGGCTCACCCATATTCGGCCCGAGGGGCGTCGCAGGGCTCGTACTCCACACTGTCACCGGGCGCGGGGTAGCCGCAATGGTTCGCCTGCCAAAAAAACAGAAAAAGGGGGCCTGCAGGCCTGACTGCTTCGCCTGAAGGAAGGCACCAAACAAAGACAACTGGTTGTTCCCATTCGATCCCCTGCGAAAGGTCAAAAACTGGTGGTTGAGTGGAAACTACCACTGAAAACCTAAAAGGCTAAGGGCATGGCTAAAAACCGCCAAGCAAAGGAGAGCCACATCTTACGAAAGATCGGTGCTTATTTTGCGGGGCCACCTCCAACCATTGAGCAGCGCCCAAAACCCATCGACTTTGGGCTCGAAGATGGATATATATATATATATACATATATATATATACATATATATATATATACATATATATATATATGTATTTAGGAGGCCAGGTGGTAGAGCCACCTTCTGGGAACGGCCTTTTTCGTTTTTTTTTGGTGCAGCTCAGTTGGGTTCCGGAGTATGGCTGGAACCTTAATTCTAAGTCACGCGCAAGAACAGTCGAGAAGTGGGGCACGCGACCTTGCGATTGATCCTTGGATTTTTTCGGGAAACATCTCGAATCATTTCACTCTACACATGTGCAGTGTGGCACATGCCCCGGCTGTGGCACCTCTGCAAACGGAAAGCACATTAGCTATCAATGTTCAAAAGTTTAGGCAGCCAAATGCATAATGCACTCATCAGAGCAAGAAAGCCCAAACCGTCCGTGTTCATGGTGGCATTGGCTTTACCCTGCATGTTTGGAAAATAGCGGATTGTGTCGCTTCACTCTACCATGGCCATCATTCGGCGCATCCCCCCTCTCCCCCAGGCTCACCTCGACCTTCTCTTGCCGGTAGCGTTTGCCTCGATTGGCACCCCGTCCAGGAACCCGTGGCGTGCCAGCCCCAAAGATTGGTTGGTTGCGGGGATTCCCTCGGGCCAATCGTGCAGGTGGCGGCTAGAAGCCACCGGAGTTCCCCAGCTTAGGTCCTCTCAGTCAGGAATTACCGTAAGTACCGGGTGAGATGTTCCAACCTCTGAAACCACTACAGCGACATCGCTGTACAGTGGCTCTTGCTGACGCCGAGCGCAGCGCCGCCGAAAAAGCCGCACGGAAGGGGGAAGAAGGAAAAAAAGAAAAACATGCAAATAGTGCGGCCGCGACTGAGCCAGAGTCCAGTTACCAGGCCTGCATATGGCACGCTTGGCAGGGGCTCTCAGCCGGCAACCACGACGTGCCCGGCCGGGGACACGCGCGGGGCGGACTGTTCAGCCGTGCCCTGGTCAAAGGCACCTGGTCGAAAGCCCGCTGGCCACGCCAAGTGCAAGTGCGGCCGTCGACCCATTTGGTGGGCTGGCACTTCCGCCGTTGGCAAATGTCCAGGGCCGAAAGGTTGGCCAACCTCGAGCATCCAGAGACAGTGAACGATCCCCGCGAGGAATCCTCTCAATTGAGATATTCCTGGGATTTCGCCAAGTGAGAACCATGGTTCAAGCTTCACGAAAAGCAAGTTCCACGTGAGGGCATCCCTACAGCCTGCGCCACTGGTTGGCCTCGAAGGAACTTGTTGGGAAAGCAGAATTCTCGAGCGCTTCTGAGGGAAGCGACACATAGCGACGTGGCATGCGTACAGGTTCGAGGAACTCGACATTCAGGAACCTTCGTGAGAGGCTCGTATATCAAGTCCAAATCCTCAAGGACAAATATATCCGCAAAGCTAGAAACATCAGCCTTCGCGTCAGCGTGGAGCCAGGCAATCATGCAAAATAAGTCACCGGAGTGGTGGCTGGCCATCCCTGAGGCTGTCACATGTGTTAACGCATGTACCTACCCAATGAGATACATATAAGTACCTAGATGTTTCCTCCATCTGAGTAAGCAAGCAAATCGTGCAAGGAAGGAAATGAGCAAAGAAAGAAAGAAAGAAAGAAAGAAAGAAAGAAAAGTGAGGCGTGGTGGCTCTTTATCGACGTTAACTCCAAGAACAAAGGAAACTGTGTGTGTGTGTGTGTGCGTCTCAGGCTCTTTCAAATACTGATTGCCAGAAGTAAACAAATAAAAGAGGCGCATGTCGGATTGCGGTACACATGGTTGGCCAAAATCAAACACTTGTCATGTTGCTTCTGAAGGATTGGCAGCAGGATTGTTCGTCAGGAGCTTGGAACGTAGACAATAACTCTAAAGGCGACGATGACCATCTCCCGGAACTGGCAGGGTTTTGGCCGAGGTCATGGCACACATCAGCCAGGGGAAGACCGACGCCGACCCAATCAAACGGAAACAGATCGCGTGGCGGGTTCGTTTCATGGTTCCACTCTCAACCACTGGCTCTTCACTACCAAACTTGTGCATGGACAAACATAAGAACTCTTCGGGCTGGAAGCGTGCACTGTGTACATGCTTCACCGAGTCTTGGGCTACGTTTTTGGAACTTGAAGTCCGAACTGGTCTGACCCCCTATTGAATTTGGAGAAGTTGGGCTCTTCCATATTATGCTGCTGTGGCTACCCCCCTGATTGGGGTAAGGTCTCTTTGGTGCGAATTCTTGGACCCCATACTCCGCCCCTCGTTGAGCAATCCGAAAGCAAGGGCCCTTCATGCTTAAAGCTATCCCGATCGGGGCCCGCAGGTGGGCCGTGGGCCCGGCGTGTGCCGCCGCGGCCGCAGGTGACGCTGCACCTGGCCAACGGAGCCAACGGAGCCAACGTTCGGTTGAATTGGTTGGATGTTGTGGACATCATTTGGGGGGGTCGTTTTTTGAGGGTGCCCGCCTTTTTTGGTTTTAAACGGAGACGAAAAGGAAAACCACCATTGGGGGCGGGGGGAACCTCTATTTAGGGACACAGCCATGCACATGGAAGTGTATGTCCACCCACCGCACTGTTTGTGGGATTCCCTCATCAAAGCATAGCCACATGTTTTGCCGCTGTCAAATGGCGTTGTGTGCCTACACCAATTGGCTGCCTCCAATGGTGCCATTTGTCCGCCGTTGCCCCCCTAACATCAAACAAATTTCAGGGGGTGTTTTTTCCCCAGCAAGGCAATATGGTAATGTGAGCTCAAGTCATCACCTTTTCAGTAGATGGCGATTGGATTAGTCACTGGCTCGGAGGATAGGCTGTCAGGAAGCATGTAGCTCTGGGTGCGCATTCTCTTGACGAATTTTAGGGAGTGTCAAAGTCAGAGTTGGGGCTGTGTTTCCTAGGGCCACTTGCGGCTCGCCCCCGCGGTTTAAGCCGGGGGCAACCAGCTCCAGAACGCGCCCACAAAAGAGAGCTAAAGGAAGGGAGTGAATCCTCCAACCGAGTCGCCTTTCTAGCTTCCAACCAAGTCGCCTCCCTGTTGCAATGGCGGACAAAGAACCAATCTGTCTGAGTCACAGCAATGGTCAAGCGACCTGTGTCTACTTTTTCATTGTAAGTGGGATCAGTTGCTTTGCTTTCCCCCTCTTCGTGAGGTCAATCAATCTTTCACCTACCATGGCACGCACAAAAAAAAGGCCTTCACTCACTATCCTCGAGCAAGCTCTGACTTTGCTCGTAAGTGCATGGCCATGGCAAAAGACCCCAACTTCTCCTGGGGCGGGTGTACAAAGAAAAGAAGCGCCTTCGTCAAAACATCGGCTTCACGAAGGCGGGGAATCGGTTTCTTCAGATCTCCATCCTGCTTGTAGCACCGTTCGATTCCGGCGGCACGCCAATCAACAGCTGGCGGAAATTGAAACTTGAAAGGGATCTGGAAATAAGGGTATCCCTTACGAAGGATGGTATTCTGGCGTATATACCTGGGTTTCTTCTGTTGCGAACTCAAGCTCTTTGCACACCGAAGACTAGATGCCTGCGTAAGACATTCAATTCTGGTGTGCAGACTGAGCTGGTTCTGCATCCTCCCTTGGCTTGGACCGAGTCCCGACAAAAACCTCAATCTCCAATGGCACCCCCCGCCACCCCGACGACCACCCACCACATAAAAAACTCCGCCGGTGTTGCGAGCCCCAGCTGGACCACTCGCTCCACTCGGCATCCACGCAGGCCTCGCATACGGACCAAAAGGCCCCCAAGCTTGCGGCAACATCCAGAAGTCTCTGGGGAGCGGGAAAAAAAAGCTGGCAGATGCGCACATGGCACATGATCTGACTGTCTGAGCGGCGCCAAGTTGCAGCATCTTTCGTCGCAAGTGGGATCAGTTGAGTCATCAATTGAAATGGTCTACCCAGAACCATGTTAACTACCCTCTGTGGGAGCCATTGTATCAGTTGAGCAGCATCAAAACCTGGTATCAAAATGGTCTACCCAGAACCATGTTAACTACCCTCTGTGGAGGCGATGCCTAACTTATTGCCGGGCAGATGTGCAACTGATCTTGGTTGGCAACCGCTATTTTCTCCTTCCATGGTACCAGGACAGCTCATTCTCATATTGTTCAAACACATGCTGTACAGAGACAGAGACAGAGACAGAGACAGAGACAGAGACAGAGACAGAGACAGATAGAGAGAGAGAGAGAGAGCTCCAATGGGTTCCCAGGCGTTCTCTGAGTTGTCGCATGTTTGTTCAGAGGACTTTGTTCAGAGGTGCCAGAGGTGCGAGAGGGCTGACGGATCTGGGCGGATCTCTTCAACCGGAAAGTCACACCTGAGGGTTATTCGCGGAATACTTTGCGGCGTCAGAAGAGCTCCTGGGAGGTTGGGAATTCTACAAGCACTGCTATTGTTTAGTGGCTCTTAGTGTTCTCGCGGTTTGCTTATTGTCCACAAAACAATAAATGTGTCCATCTCTTCCAGCCGCAGTTGACCTTGCTCTTCTTTCCTGCATGATGAATTAAACAGTCCACAATCATTGCCAGAATCGTCCCGTCTATTCAACCAGTCGCAGTGCATATGAGTCGGACCAAGAATGTGCTCGATTCTAAGTTGTCAGACTTGTTCAGCAACAGGCCCCATGCCAAGAGCCCATTGGCCAAGCACAATCCGAAACCAAGCCTCGAAGCCTATACAAACCCCAACAGCCAATCGCACTCAAAAGCCCAACAGACCAACAAACCCCCATGTTCAGCTTCTCAGTAAAGTGAAAAACCAAAAAGCCGGACAAAAAAACCTGGGCCAAAACCTGGGCGCGTTTTCGCCCCCCACGCCTCCCCACACCCCGGTTCGCGCCAAGAAGCCCCGGAGGGCGTGCAGCTCTTCGCGCAGCTCAAATCCGACTCCACCTGACGCCGCTTCGCGCGATGGACGTCTTCGACTGGACCGGAGAGCCTTGAATCCAAGTCACAGCCGGCGGAGATGGACCTAAGAATGGCATTCTGAACCTCTCTTTTTTTAGTTAACCCCAAGAGCGGGGATATATATCAGCTGGTTTCGACTTTTGTCGGAGTTTGGTCCCATTGATTCTTCCCAAAACGGAAGGGCGACTGAAGGCCAAGGATGTCATAAGCGGCAAACGCTGAGAGTCCAGGGCCTGAGTATGTCTATCAAGGGGCTGTAGTCATTCTACCTTTGCACCAGTACAGTGGAAGTCAGCCTGTTTTCGCAAAAAAAAAATGGACTCGCAACATTTATGAGCGCCTGCTTTTCTCAATGCCAACATGCATAGACCATTCACATCAGTGTGAACATGTGCGAAGCTGTTTGTTCATTACATCTCTACATTTCTCTGCCCGGCCACGTAAAGTGCTCTGAACCTCCAACTCCCACTTCCCGCGTTCATGGGATGCAAGCGTTCATGGGACCATAGAAGCAGGTCTTCAGTACCAAGCCCAGTGCTGCCTGAAGCACGGAATCCTGACTCTACGCGGCATGCGGTGGAATCGAATCCTGATGCGAGCTCTTCAAGGAATAGTCATAAGGCGTGGCAGGAGCTTTTTTGCAACAATGCTGCTAACTCAGCTGTGCTTAAAATCCTTGATGCTATGGAAGCTGGAAGTTCCGCAAAAGAGCAACAACCAGAAATTGAGCTCAGGTGCGCGAACAAGCGCAGCCCCGTCTTCAGCAGAAGCACCACATGACAGAGAACGTGGTCAGGGTAAACTAGATGGCCAAGACCTGTTGGCACGACGACGCGCACTACTTGCCAGCCTTCAAACGCACGATCCCTCTGCAGGCGTCCA